CTGTTCAACGGCAGAAGTTAGCAGATGGCCATGGGAGAAAACAACAGGAAAATATCGGGGGTCAGGAGAGATAGGAAGAGACACCACTCACGCCCAAATGAGGCCCATATGCATTGCTGCACGTCCTTCGAAGCTGATACCGTAATCAATAAGTGCAGCATTTCGCTCACGCACAAGCCTGTGACCAAAGTTCTCTTCCCAATCAGCATCGCTGTCTGGGGGACAACCAGCAGTTGCTGCCGCCAGCCAGTCTTTGGTGGCTTCAAGAGTGCGGTCGCGCGCTGCCCAGCCTTTGCGACACACTAGCTTTGGCAGCCCCTGCATAAGTGTCATGAAGGCAGCATCGTAGTCCCAGAATGTCTTGGCTTCCAACGAGCCCTTTTGGAGAATTCGCGGACCGACTAAAGTAATGGTTGATGCAGCGAATTGGTACGTCTGTAGGAAGTCGTATAAGCCGACAATCGCTGGGGCTGATGCGCCTTCTGGACAAGTCTTGAGCTGTTCGGAAAACTCGAAGACAAATTTGGCCGTCAGAAAGTCTACGGCTGACTTTTCCGTAAGGTTCTTGAGGTATATCCCATGAAGTATGTGCCAAATGCGCCCTTTCCCTACAACGCCGGTCTCAGACTGGTTGAGAGTACCAGCCCCTGAGTCGTCCATCCCCAGAAGGGCGGCATCGCTGGCTGGAAGACCTTTGACCTTGTGTGCGATACGCAACTGCATAAACTCGAACGAAAGACTGCTAGACTGTCGAAAGATTGCTTGAATGTTCGAGGCGCCCATCACGAGGTACATGGAAATAGGACCTAGACGCATAGTCACCGGTCCTTTTGTTGGTCGTTTGGCACTTTTGTTACGGTAACGTCGATCAGCATGATGGCCATATACTCAACATATAGTACTCAAGAATAAACTTACAGTGTTTCCTCATAGAACTTATGAGGATCTCTGATCATCTGAATGCCATTCCCAACCCATGGCAACCAATATGCCAAGGTAGGTGGCTCATTTCCTCGAAATTGGCGGTTCTTCTTGCTGCTAAGGTAAAAACGGCATGATGTGAAGATGTAGGTGCACAAGCAAACACCAAATATGACCAGCACAAAGTATTTGAAAGCGTGAACTACGGGCCAGGAACTGATCCTTAGTAGAATCAATTTGATTTGATGAGTGAATGGGAAGTCATGATCGTCCATGGTGGAATTTCGAAATCTCGTGATGTTGGCAGGTTGCCGAGTCACCTCGAAAACCCGAGCCAGCTCCATTTCCAGTAGTCTCCTAATACTTTAGTGGATTCAGTTCTCGTGCTGCCGCGCGGAGGCTTGAGCTTGACGACTTACACACATGCTGCTCAGACTTTGCTGAAGGATGATACATAGTGGCACCCGGGCTGCATGTGATTGTGGCCATTTGCTGTCGAGTAAGAAGCACTGTGTCCCACAGACCGTAAAGGATTGTATTCCCTGCCAGAGGCTTGGATGCTATTCCACCGGATCTGGGTCAACGGCTTCAAAAGTGGCCGAATTGCCCCGAGTGGCATCAGAATTCATATGGAGCACATCTGTCTCGAAGGATTCGGGAGTACGACGATGCTATCAGCCTTACCAATCAGGTGTATATCCTTTATGGGGGGAGGGCTTGCCGAAAGTCCGACCCACCTCTGTCATATGTACTTGACCTGAGCCATGGGAGCGGTTCTGGACTCGGTAATCCTGGTAGGGGAAGAGACGCGATTTACACGGTGCAAAAAATCGCTAGATGATGTCGATGTAACAATGTCTACCAAGATAGTAGCTGACATGGGTACATGTGGATATGTGTAATGGCTACACTTGCTGATTAGTGTCAGCGGCCATACTAGTGGTTCTGCTGCCTAAGACAACGAGACTAGTCTGCAACCCTGCATTCAGAATCACGATACTTGGCATAAGCACTGTGAGCACAGCCAAATGGACCCGCAAAGTCAGTCGCGCCATAATGATGTTGGGTTGCACTGTGTCAGACTAGGATTGTAGGGCCTAGGACCAATTTAGGGCACTCCGGAATGTTGATGATCCATAGGCCCAAATAAGGCAAAGCTAGGTTAGCGGAGGTGACCTCCGAAGTGAAGGAAGAAAGAATCATCACATCGTTGCCATACTTTGTTGGGCAAGTCCAAAGAAAATCCAGATGGCCACGGGTGAGAGGCCAAACTCAACCACAATGCCAAACAGTTACTCAACTATCATCATCGGCGCAGGAGAATCTGGAATCGCCGTGGGTTGTATGCTCAAGACCAAGCTGGGTACTGACGACTTCCGAATATTCGACAGACAGAACGGTGTCGGAGGGGCATGGTTTGCCAACAGATACCCGGGCGTAGCCTGCGATATGTAAGTGGAATCAGTGTGTCGGGAGGCAGAGATGATTGGCCTTTTCTGATCGTGACGTCGGATCTGACTGTTGATGCAGCCCGGCGATTTTCTACTCGTATTCTTTCGCCCCAAACTATGAGTGGACGACCTTGTTTCCTCCAGGCCAGGAGATCCAGCAGTACTTGGATGGTGTCTGCGACAAGTTTGATATCCACAGCAACATTCAGCTCAACACCGAGGTGTCAAGTGCTCGATGGATTGATGAAGATGCCGAGTGGGAAGTCAAGGTGACCAGTCTGAATCCCCAAGACAAGACTTCAGAAGAAGAGGCTCTTCGGTGTAAAATCCTAATTACATGCGCCGGTGAGCTTGTCGAGCCCAATATTTGGCCGCAGCATGTCCCAGGAATTGAGTCTTTCCGAGGACAGGTCTTTCACACCGCGCAGTGGAAAGAGGATGTTTCCCTGACAGGAAAAGATGTTGTCGTAGTCGGGGCAGGCTGCACTGCAGCGCAGCTCGTTCCGGCACTGGCAAGCCCAGAGATTGCTGCGAAGTCAATCACGCAGCTAATGAGGGGACCGCCGTGGGTTATGGCTCGACCTGAGAAACCTCCTCCGCGTTTGATGGAGGTTGTTTCCACGTTGCTTAGAACCATACCTGGACTTGGCTTGTTTCTTCGGCTTTGCCTCTTCCTGTACGCTGAATCAACATGGCTCAATGTCGGCACGGGCTGGTTCGGCAAGAAGCGGCGACAGTGGTTTGAGAAAAGACTCTCAAGTCACCTGCGGAAGACGGTGCCACCTAGATATCACGACATGCTCACACCACACTATGGTGTTGGATGTCGGCGGATCATTGTCGACGGTGGATGGTTGGAAAGCTTGAGTCTCCCCAATATTGAACTTACCGACAGACCTCTGGTTTCAATCGAACCCCAGGGCATTGTATTAGGTCCTCGACCAGGAGAAGAGCGCTTGGAGTCCATCGACGAGAAGTGCCACAATGAAACCATCCAGAAGCCCGCAGATGTCATTCTCTTGGCAAATGGGTTCGAGACTTCGACTTACCTCCATCGCTTGAAAGTGCAAGGGAAAAACGGCAAATTTCTTCACGATGTCTGGCAGGCAAATGGAGGCCCTGGCGCGTACCTCAGCACTGCAGTTCACGGATTCCCCAACTTTTTCATGGTTCTGGGGCCAAACTCCGTCAGCGGCCACTCATCAGCCATTTTAGCAAGTGAAAATGTGACAGGATATGCTCTGAACTTCCTCGAGCTTGTTCTGAGCGGACAGGCCCGTACTGTTGAGATTCAGCTAGAAGCCGAGCAAAGTTACACAGCTGATGTGCAGAGAAGGTCGCTAGACAAAGTCTGGCAAACTTGTCACAATGGCTACATACAGAATGGAGGCTGGAACAGCTCGATTTGTCCGTAAGTCACGCGATAACTTTCCTTTCACTTGCTCAATCGTTTTAAAATACAAGCTGACGATTTGGCATCTTCAAAGCTTTAACCAAATCCATTTCGGGTGGATGTGCAAACATCCGATATGGCAGCACTGGGATATTGCATATACAAAGGCTGGAACTCAACAGAACAACTTAAAACTTTCTAGACGTCGAAAAACGGTGTGGGTGATTGCTTCATTCTTGGCTATGTTTGCTCTTCTTGTTGGGTATTATGGCAGATTACACTAGTCGCTGGAAACATCTAGACATCAATTCACCAGGCGGAGAATGAACATACTATTCTTGAAAGTAATAATTCGCCGATACAAACGAATGGCTCTGGGCGTCTTACTTATAAAACTAAAATCCACAACAAGATACCCAGAGCTGCCCTGCGATCAACTTCTCTTTCCACCTTGTTCATGAAGATTACAACATCCGTCTGCTTTCTTGAACATACTCTCTAGATCTGACACATCTCTTTACCGAGCCTTGGTCTCGCTTCGACATCGCACTCGCCCCGTCATCGCTTCTTTTCTTTCTGGATGAAACGTTTCTGCCTAAGACTACTTTAATCGGGTTTTCACCGAGCTGGGTGCTCTAGTGCCTTGTCTCAGATGATAGCATAATTGCCACTTAGTCCCGCTGCCAGGGCGAGCTATCCATAGTCTGGACTCTCGAAAGCCGTATGCCGAGCAAGAAGAAGCCGAATCAGACAAGATTATGTGAGAACTGCTCCTAAGCGCCAAGAAGTGAGGCTGGTATTTCTGCAACACCCTGCTCATCTCTGCAGGTTCTCGTCTCTGCAGGGGTGAAGTGGCCTGCACTAGTGGAGAGGGTTACAACGCCGTCAGCGCCGGGAAATCCTTCCCAGCGGGCCAACGGGAATCCTACGGAAGACCCAATTCCAGCTTAGTGCTCACAACTGACCGAAAGGATCAAATTTTCGCTTCTTTCTGACACAATGTCACATTCAGCCAGTTGAATGGGGAAAGACTGTCGTGAAGTTCGTTGCCCTGTATGATGTAATGGGAATCTTTGCAATTCGATGTGAGAGCGAGGAGCTTCGGCATGTGATTTCTTTCCCTTCTGTCATTGGCAGTGAAGTCTGGCAGTTACGTTGAAGGCTGAGGATTCTGAATAACGTCGACAGCCGTTACAACGGTTTCAGAACGCGTGCTCGTTCGTGCGATATCCACGATGAACTCAACAGTCGAACATTGGCAACACCAGTATGGCGTCGCGGGGTTGTCAAGGCTTCGCACCTGGACCTTTGCGCAAGTTGCCGCCTTCGTCGCATCCATCCTCATAGTGCGCTTCCTCGTGAAGCTCATCAACCATCGCCGCATGTTCCAGCGCCTTCAACGACAAGGCCTGCCAATGCCTCCTCATAACTTCTTACTCGGTCACCTAGGGCTTGCGGCTAAGATTGCGAAAACCCTTCCGAGCGATTTTCACGGGCACTATTTGGCGGGCGAAATCAGGCGAGTGTATCCTGACCTCCCAGCTGTCTTCTACCTGGACCTGTGGCCGACCGGTCCACCATTGATGGTGATAACGACAAGTCACGATCAGGCTCGAGTGACGGCGCATGAGCCGCAACTTCCTAAACACGAGGGCGTGTTGGGATTCCTGAAGCCTCTCATCGGAAGCCATGGTCTCGTCACGATGGAAGGAGATGAGTGGCGGTACTGGCGGGGCGTTTTCAATCCTGGATTCAACGCGGCGCATCTTGTGACGCTGGTACCGGGTCTCGTTGAAAATACACTGGTGTTGCATGATATCCTGCGAGAGAGAGCAGCGGCCGGCGAGATCTTCTCGTTGTTTGAGACTATGTCGCGGTTGACTATGGACATGAGTTGTCTCGCAACATTGTGAGTCCAAAATTTCTCAAGAAAAATGTTGCCACTGTTCAATGATAGTTCTAACTTGATATGGTAGAGGTTCTCGTTTGAACGCCCAGAGGCAGGGCTGTGATCTTGTGTCAGCATTTCGCAGTCAAGCCGACTGGATCCCATCCCCCAATGAGACAAATCTCTTCAGAAAGTTCAACCCGACAAGGCACTTGGTCTATCGCTACAATCGATGGAGGATGGATAGGTATGTCTCGAGCGAGTTGGAGACGCACTTCGCTGCAATGCGATCTCAGGCTCAGCTTGGGGATTCCGGACCCGAGAACACAACGGCAGTCCCAAGAAGAAGCAAGGCTGTTGTCGACCTGGCGCTTGAAACATATCTACTCTCGGAGAAGAACAATGGAAATTCTGGTCATAAGATGACTATGGATCCCACATTCAAGCAATACGCCGTCTCACAGATGAAGCTCTTTCTCTTCGCTGGCTATGACACGACAGCCGCTGCGGTGGTCTATTCTATCCATCTCCTTTCGCTTCACCCAGCTGCCCTATCAAGAGCGCGCCAAGAGCACAACGATATCTTCGGAGCCGACAGCACCGTCAAGGAGACTGGAAATAGCATCGCCAAAGCCCCCCAGCTCCTCAATCGACTGGCATATACATCAGCCGTTATCAAGGAGGCTCTCCGGCTGTACCCACCCGTGTCCAGTACGCGTGCGTCTGGACCAGGCTTCACGGTATCGGAAACTGACAAGACGAATCTTGAAGGCTTCATGCTTTGGGGTGTGCATCACGCTATCCATCGAGCACCAGAGCACTGGGTGAGGCCGGATGAGTTTGTCCCGGAACGCTGGCTGGCCTCTCCCGGTGACGAGCTGTACCCCGCGGACAAGGAGGCGTGGCGGCCGTTTGAGCGAGGGCCGCGAAACTGCATTGGCCAAGAATTAGCCTTGCTGGAGGTGAAGGTAATCTTAGCTATGGTGCTGCGGGACTTTGACTTTGCGGACGCTTACGTCGAGTTCAACAAGACGATGGGCCGGACGGGTCCCACAGAAGTAGCAGGGGATCGTGCCTATCAGATCATCCATGGAAGCACTAAGCCCAACAACGGGTATCCTTGCAGGATCAAGCAAGCCACGAGTGTGTCTTAGGCGGTGATGGTGTTGGACTTGTAGACTAGGCCACGTATTGAACCATGTCTCAAACAGTAAGCTGATCCTCTTACTACATAAACGTTGATTTGTGTGTCCCATGCTTAGCTATCTTGAAGCTTTTGCATCAACATCATTGTCCAGTCTCCGTTGACACCATTTTCCCTCACTTTAGCACTTGATCGACAAGCAACACCGCCATCATGGCTCCATCATCGATACACGTTATATTTCCGTTCATCACACTGGCTGGACTCTATGCGGTCTCAAATCTCATGATCAACTCTGGCCACGCTCAGTTATTCACCGATAGGCGAGCATCGGCAACACCCTTACTCCCAGACAACAAAACACCCCTCCTGACAGTCTATACCGGGGTCCCGCCCCTGGACTCGTATCTCGCCAACCTGCAGTTCAGCATTATCCCTACAGTCGAAGGCTCGTCCCAGGCTTTGGCTCTGCTAGGGTGGCACTGGATGGGGCTTCTCATAGCCGTTTTCACTGTCATGCTAGTCGAGAGCTTACGAACGCGACGCGCAAGGGACCTGATTCCTTTCGTGCTCTGGGGTCTTGCCATACAGTATGCAGGGTACTTCATCATCATGCCCATATACTGTTATGTATCCTTGCTCTCTCAGTCACCTAGGAAGCATTCAAGACTACCGACCATGGCTGCCATTAAAGCTATCCCGGCATCAGTGCTAATTGGGCTTGTAATCCCATCGGCGATTATGTGTCTGCCAAGCAAGCATCTCTCTGGCCAGTCACGACAGGTCGCTGTAGCTGTCTGGCAGAACTTCCCAGCGTGGATGGCCTTAGTCCAGGTGATTGCCGTGTCTTTGTTGGGAGCCATCCCGGCACGAAAATCGGGAGAACGCACTACCGAGGACGGCGAACTCAGCCGTAACACGTCAGCTCTTCGAAGATTGTACAAAGCTACCGCCGTAGTCTCCGCTTTGATCCATGTCTTGGGTCTCATACCCATTGTCTCCGCTGCCATTGGCAAGCTGGAGCCTACACAAGATTCGCCACATGCGCAGCTGCGACCTGCCGACTTCTTCCTGCCGCAGAAGTGGGATACTGAGACCCAGGTAAGTGGGATGACAGAAGGCGCATTCAACTTTCTCCGCTATGACTACTACATCGGCACCGCCGCTGCGTTCGCTTGGGTCATATTTTTCCAGCCTTCGATGCGGGTAAAGGGGGATACATGGTCGATTGGTAGAGAAGTGTCTTGGAATATCGCTCTCACATGCTTGTTTGGGCCTGGCTTCACTATCGTAAGCCTGATGGAACGGAGACTTGAATGAATAAAGAGTTAGCATCTAGCCAGGCGGAGCACCTGATCCTTAGCGCTATGTCCCTAGTGTGTCATATTATCCACTTGGTAGTCTTATCTTCGTGTATGATCTAGTCAACGGCCGACGGAGGTCGTCTCCGTCTCGGCACGGGTCGTGTTCGTCTGAACCACGAGCTCGGTGTGGGGTTACGACATCTGGAACAGGACCAGGGTCTCCATAAGCTCTATTCGCCAAGCTGTCAGCGTGGGATCCTTCGCCCTTCTCTAGGCTCTATCAGATTCGCACTGTCCGCTTACACGGCAATTCAGTGATCAAACAGATTGTGGGGTTTCACCGATGTTACCTCGCCTTGCATGAAGGATGAGCCCGGGCCGCTGAAGATGCAACTAGATCCTTCGTCCCTTTCTAGATCTCGGAACACACAGGTACGCGCCGATTGGAGCGCTCGCAAGACAAGTCGCGACGCCCCTGTTCACCGCACAGTTGCCTGTTTTCAATTCCAACCGTGTTCTTTACCTCAGTCGTGGCTGTCCACATTTGGGAAGATCAAGAAGACAGCGCTCCATTTGCGTGACTTCTTCGTTTTTGACGCTCTGCAGTTAGAGCTTGAGTCCTTCGTTTGCAATCAGTTTGCGAAAAGATGTCCATTCTTCGACGCAAAGTGGCGAGATTGGCTCCGCCAACAGTCTTGACCGATAAGGTTATCCCGGTCGACTACTGGGACCATCACTCTCGCGATGCTGTCCTCAACGTAATGCTGCGCTTCGACCGCCAACTGGATGCAGCCAAACTACGAAGAGCTCTGGAAAAATTGCTTGACCGCCGGGATGGCTGGCGCAGGCTGGGTGGGAGGGTGCGGCTAGGTGTAAGTCCCCTGTAGCAATACGAGTTCCCCCCTATGATGCGCTTTACTAACTTGAATCCATAGCCTTCGAATAAGCTGTATTGGCATGTGCCTGACACATACACTGAGAAGCGGCCTGCAATCACCTTTCATCACAACCGTCACAACAACATCAGTATCAAGCAACATCCATTAGCATCTCGACTTCGGAGCAGAGTTCCATCATCTTCTGGTGGCTCTCATGACGCCTCTGTTCCTTGGATGGTGGAGTCAGGCAATGGCGTGGACTTCTCCCCCTTGATGCGACACCCAAGTGATCCTACTTGTTTCGAAGACTATGTCTATCACGATAAACCGATGATAGGCCTACAAGTCACCACGTTCAACGACGCGACATTGGTATCATTAGGCTTCTCTCATATCATGTGGGACTGTATGGGTCTTAAAGATCTCTTTGACGCATGGTCTCTCACTCTACAGGGACGCCATGAAGAGGTCATTCCGTTGATTGGAACCGATCCTCTTGGGTCTTTGGGTATATCACCTGAGCCAACTAAAATGGTAACAAAGGACGATGCAAGCAAAACAGCAGCTTCTACATCCCCTTCCGAACAATACCGGCACATCGATCGACAACTTGGAATTGTTCAACTCGTTACGCTCGGTCTTCGGCAAGCACTCGACAAGCTACTGAACAGAAACGCGGCTGAGGAGTTTAGGACGGTGTGTGTGCCCGCAGCATATGTCAGGTCTTTGCGCAATGACGCGCTCCAAGCTCTCGACGCCGAGAATGCTAGTTCGTCGGGACCTCAAGGGCCAGAGAAGGGTCATAAGTCTCAGTTAACTCCAGCCACGTTTCTAAGTGATGGTGATATTCTCTGTTCATGGTGGACACGCAAAATCATTAGCTCACGCATCCGCAATCCCTCCAAGAGCCGCAAAACCATCGCTATACTAAACATGATGGGTTTACGTGGCATTCTGGCACAAGCAGGACGATTGCCCGAGAAAGGAGCATTGGTTGGTAACGCAATCTTGCCTATTCCTGCCCTGCTACCCACGCGAGATCTTGTCAGAAACGATCAGCTGGGCTTTGGCCGCGTTGCAAAGGCCCTCAGAGAGGCGATCGCGCAACTTAGCACTAGGCCGCAGGTTGAAGCTCTCTTGGCGCTGCAGCGGCGTGCACATGGGGATGAGGTTGTTGAGAACGCCAACAAAAAGTCGGGCAACGGCAAAGCCGGACTGCCTGCTCTCTTCGGCGATGCGGGCATGCACATGGTTGTGTGTACCAACTGGACCAAGGCCGAGTTCTTCAATGTTGACTTCTCGGCCGCGGCGGTTGACGAGATTGGTTGTGACGGGCTCTTTGAGAACGAGCGTGCGCGCCTTCCTGAGGCTTCATCCAACGATACTGCCGCTAGCAGTGGCGTCGAAATGATGAGCGCTATGGGTTGTGATGGACTCTGGGAGGACGAACATGCGTCACGTCCGTCTGTCGCTCCTCAATCTGATGCTCCTGCTTCTCGTGTGTTGGCAAAGCCGACTGGCGTTCACATGCATTTGATAACGGCGGGTACTCCTGCGTTTCTAATGAGTATCTTTACCATCTTGGGCCGCGATGCCAATGGAGACTACTGGATTCAAGGAATGCTACGGAAAAAGTATTGGGCTAAGATTGAGACCGCCCTCAGTCCGAAGTAAACGCTTCGCTGGAGACGTAAGCTCGAGCAAAGATTCAGAATACTACATAAACAGACACCTTTCGGAATGGGATCAGAGAAAGTGATTATACTTAGTTGTGAGAGTGGAAAAGAGTCACGAAGGAGCAAGTGCACCTTGATCAAATGATTCAGTCTAGGGGCATGGCTGTGTATTATGAATATTTCTGGAGTAAGGTAGGTAAATACTCGCAATGCCGCGAATGCTTTCGCCGAAGCCGTCTTTTCCACTACACTCGATGTCCAGAGTCTTTAGCCAGGGCTTCCACGGTCTCCCTTGATGTTCCAGCCCGCGAAGTTGACGGAGTGGCCTTCATAAGCAATTAACTCAGCCTTGGTCTTAAAGCACTTGGCGTAAATGTCCAGAGTGTTATCATTGGCCATTTTGGTGGGGATGACCATTTGCAGCATCTGCCCGTGTCCCTCAATGTACGAGAAGCGAAGTGTTGAACTCGCACTGAAGCCGAAGTTTGCAATGTACTTGGCGATCACTTTCTCGCCATAACCCCAGAGCTCCTTGGTCTTCGAGCTTCCCCAGAAGCAACTCTTGCTTGTGCAAAATTGCGGGATCCATAGTTTGGGGGCTGCATTGAAGCGGGCTTCATCTGCTTTGAATACGCAGTACCAATTCTTCTTGATCGGCGAGCCTCGCCATCCCGCAGGTTCGGAGCCTATAGCTGAGTTAGGTCCAAAGTACCTAGGTAAGAGGGGTTTGAGTGAGTAGAAGCTATGCTTGTTCTCACCTAAGTAAATGCCATTTCCGATCTGACTACCACCTGGCAAGTTGTCGAAGGCCGGATCTCTGAACGGTTTGTTTTTCTCGTTGATCTTCACCGCTTCTTCCTAGAAGATGCCGCGGTTGTTAGTGACATCGATACAATGGATCCCTATACACGATAGTGTAGGACTTACTTCCGCAGCAGTGCGATATCCAATCACCATTTTACCCTGGGTACCAACGATTAGGTACCCTAGGGCCAACAACAGAAAAAGCCGACTGAAAAGAGTCATGACGATGTCTCGAATCCGAATTGTGACCAGAGATCTCTTGAGAATCGAAATGATCTAACATTAAGACTGCGGCGAAAGATCAACGATTCTTATAAGTATTTCACAGACTGGGACTTCGCCATGATCGACTCTTGGAGAAACGGACTTGCCGTCGCTAAGCCGTTCGGTCTATCTTATCGAGATCGCTGTAATTGAGTTGTTGCGACTAATTCAGGTTGCTGCAACTGTTCTTGCAAAAATCCGATGAGTTCCCCTGAATGACTCAAGTTAACAGATTTGTTCCCATTGCTATAATTGACATGTTATGACTGAGTCAGGTTGCTTACCATGTAGTGTTGTTTGACCCCCAAGCCCCTAACGGAAAATTCCTCGTTAATTACCTCTACGACCTCAAGTACCGCATAGCACTCACCAAGTCCTAGCAATCGCGGCAACATTCTCCACCGTTCTCCGCTCTAGCCAAGACCAAAACCGATACCCATGTCTTGATATCGCGCTTCTATTCTAGGTAACTGGTGTGACATATCCGTTCCTCTGCTGAGTGGCGATAATATGTACGTCCCCAGTTCCAACAACTCTGCCCCCAGCGTAATTCTTGATTTGAGGATACAGGGCAGAGCGTGGCGTACTAACATCTCATTCTTGCTACGTCACTCTGAATGATTCGTTCTTTCTTTTGATGATGCCATTTAGCAGCTGGTGGGATCGCCATAAAAAACTGTTTTTAACTAAGGGCCTACAGCAATCCAGTGGGGAAGCCAGACCCCGAAATGGAGACCATCTACATTTACTCCTTCATCATGCTCTTGTGGAATAACCATACATCTGATGAAACATCAGTCATAGTTCCACTTACGTCATTCAATGAACGATGTTTCTGGAGATGACTCAGGCGAATGAGCTCAGGGCTGAATACTTCTCCGAGACGCCAACCGCGAGGCTGTCCCTTCCCAAGGAGGCCCATTACATGTTTCTTGACCCTCAACTGAGAAATATGGCTTGAAAATGATTCCAACTTTATGGATTGTCGATCGGCATCGCCGCAACAAGCTCCATCTTCTTGACTCGCTATCTGCTCAGTGTGACAGGGTGAATTGATGGGAGCTGAAGAGTTCGATACTATAGTTTCTGATATGAAACTTGGCTAAAAGATCTTTCTGTCTGATCTGCTTTACCGAACATCTAAAAGCAGGCGTTCTGGAACTATTTTGGTGCTCTCAATCTCTCTGACAAAGGCAGCCAACACAAACGCCAATCACCCGAACTTGGATTCTTTTCAGCGAGCAAAATCCCTCTCGGACATTTCTGGGCTGTCAAGGCAGGATTGTTTCCAAAATGATTTCAATTTCGTTCTTCTTTTTGTCATCAATTTGAAAAGTCTCGGCATCTTGCAGGGATTCACGGCGTCATGCTAGGGTCACTCTTATCATGAGGCGGTGACAACGCGAACGGACACCAGTAGATCATTCATGACGCTGTAGTTTCACTTATCAAGAAGGCAGCTGGTGGATGAGGAGGGAATCTGGAGCTATGATTAAACCCTGCCTCTGGGTGTCTGGATGCTGTGATCCCTACCCAGCCGTGGATGAGAACAGTAACATTGGGCAAGCAACACCTTCAACCTACGTAAACAATTACTGCCTCGAGCAGACTCATCCAACAGACTAGATCTATGGCGGAAAAACTGATCAAAATTTGCATAGCTGGCTTGAAATCGAGAGGCGGCGGGAGAATGGCAATGGAACTGGCGATAGTTGCCAAGTCTACGCCCGCCGCAGCCAGAGCCAGGGTTGTCATGGCACCATGTACAGGTATTGTCCTCCCTAGGTTCACTAGGCCGACAGGGAAAAAAGACAGAGCATCTCGTCATTACTGAGATAGTATTGAAACTGTATAAGGTAGAAAGGACTCTAGCGGTGCAGTGCTTCAAGGGAACCACCAACACCTACTAAAGCAACACAAGATATCCCCTTCGATCAGCCTAAATTTGACCCGAATATGGGGAAATAAGTCTCCCGATCAGACATATTAGAGTAGCTAATCAGAAGGGTAGAATGTCCAGTTGTCTAATGTTATCACGTTCGAAAGTAAATTATTTGAGAAAGCTTAAGTTCGATCATAAAAGGTGTATCTTTGATTACCTAGAGTGAAAAGGTACGCTACTCTCTTGTTCTATATCTGATCGGGCCCTTCCCCTTATATTTTTCCCCGATCGGTCCGCATTATATCATCCTTCGTATTAACCGAGCTTTTAAAAAGAACCGCTGAGACTGATCGACCCATCCCACTCTAGTATGGTAGTCTGAGTTAATCGATGAGGTTTGAAGGAGAAGGATATCACGGGTTTTCGGCCGGTCGGCGTTTGGAACACGGCTGATCATCTGAACTGGGGCACGCCATCCACCCTCAGAAGAAAATCTTTACGAGGCCCAAGTGTTGGCCTCAGTATGGCAACATATCCCAAGATGGAAATTTATGACAACGTCATCGCGGCCTTCAAGGGCGCCGACGACGAAAACATCATTGACCGAACCCTGATCAGCCGTGAGTCTCTGCTAGCTTCGGCCAAGATGCCGTCACCGACATTTAGTATCAGAAGACTCAGATTCCTCTTAAGGACGCCAATTTCCAGCCTCAGATAAACGCCGCATATCAGGAGGGTTCTTTGCGGGGACCTACATAGGGGTGGTGGATTGCGACCGACCACCTAAACTTGATACTCCGGATGACGCTGCTTTGACTCCCACCTGTGATCTCAAGCCAGAATCCACTGAAATATATGCATATTTGCTTAAATGCACGATTGAGTTTGGTGGATGTACAGGAAAGGGGCTTGAGGTGGAGAACTCGATGTAGCAATCCTTTTTCAATCGAAAGAGTTGTTTGGACATGACTTGCTCCGGCTCATTCGTAAATCTAATTCAAAATTTCATCATCGCGGAACTAGTTCTTCCTTTAAAGCAAAACCTCAATGTTCTTCCATGTAACTTGGCAACCCAGTCACGAACTTTGGCCAAAGAGGAAACCTTTCGCCTGAGGGGTGACCAAGCTCTCCAACACCTGGCTCGTTTCTAGCCAGACCCTCCGTTGAAGTTCCAATCCGAGTGCCCTGCCATTATCAATAAGTATTAGCATAGGTAGCTTCTACTGTATTTCAGGGTTCATGATTTCTGATGTTTTTGACGCGGAAGTACAGGTTTCTCAACACTTCTTTGAGACCGTAGTAGTCACAGACTTACCTGTCCATGAACTCAGGGTACCTATGTCATGGCAAAGTCATTAGCAAAAGTGCAATGTTTCCACCGCCGCGTCTAATACAAAAGATCACGGACCGTGTAACTTCTCAGAAAATGAGGGCGACGATCTGAACTTACGGAGCAACATCGTAATCAACCAGCAACTTCCCATGCGATCCTATCAGTGGTAGGCATGAATTCACCACAGTTCGTGCACACATCTCTACGGGTCGACCAATGAACCAAAGCAGCAGCCGACCGATCAAAACTTGTGAGCTGAGTGGCGTGAAACAGGCACCCGGATCCAGCTGGTGAACGTGAATCCTCGGATTACTGCCGGTAAGATGGCGTGCGCAGAGCTCCCTGATCCAGCATGCGTGAATGATCTTTGCAAGCCCATACTGGTAGCTCTTCTGTGTAGCGGCGTCTTTGACATTACTGACCTGCTCAAGGTAGCAGTCTTCAGCATCATCTGGGAGCTTGACCATCGGGGCTGCGGAGCGGATTGCTGCGCTGGTTAGACTGCAGAGCACCACTGGTTGAGCTTCTCCATCGGCTAGCATTTTGGGAAAGAGGAGTAAAATCAGGAGCGCCGATGAAATATGAATCAGTTGCAGTGCTAGATGAGAGGAATCCATGTCAGGAAATTGACCTCGTAAAGACAGCATTGGTTGCGGTTGAGGGAGCTGATTTTAACAGCTGAAACTCACTCTCTTCCCAGCCATCTGCCGTCACTCTAGTCTCATCATTCATGATAGCAGAACCCATGACCACCACATCGATACGGTTCTGTAAATCGTTGATTCTGGTCGCAAAAGTCTGAACACTATCAAAGGATAAGAGGTCAACTTCCATCACCGTGATTTTTGGCTGTTGGCGAGAGCCCTCTTCGATTGCTTTCCTCAGTTCATCAGCCAAGGATTCGCCCTTTGCGACATTTCGGACTGCCAAAATGAGAGTTGAGACACTGAGGCTGGTAATAATGCGGGCCGCTTCTGAAAGGATTGCGCCGGTGGCGCCAACTAGGAGGACTGTCTTTCCTTCGAAGCTCGTCGTAGGTGGTGCAAGGTCCGCCTTTGCCTGTCGGCGGAAGGTGGCCCATGGAAAGACTTCCGAGAAAGGGATTTTGTCTGATTGAACCATGTTGAGTTTACAGAGCCCAGAGAAATGCAAGGAGAAGTTTGCCAGTCCTGACTGAGGTTCAAAGATTTCTCACCATGATGGCACGTCAATCTTCACGATGTCCGCTCAGTGAGCAGACCGAGTCACCGAGACATAATCTCTAGTGCTGACATTTGCAGAATACAGGGTGTAGGCTGTATCAAGCCATGATCCATGTATTGATTGGGCCCATACATGTTCGATTAACTGGACCCTAGCAAACACTGTCTCTGGCACGTCTGGGCAAGTTCGTGTCATCCTGCATCTAGAATGAGGCGCTAAAACGACGCACTGTGCTCGAATTCGGTCACCGTGTCCGCGATCTGCACATCCACCGTACGGAGCACATTTCAAAGACACGGAAGCAACGGTAAGGGTAGTCCAGGAAGACAGATATCGTTCTGCATCATGCATGTGTATCGTAGTACCTCAGTGACGGTAGTGCAATCCTTCGCGCGAACTACGATACAGCGGTTGTGGCTGCTTGACCGAATCCCTCCGAAGATGGTCCCGAAGATGACACCCTCGCGTTGCCGCCTAGACGAAGTCTGAAGTGGATTACGCCCAGACTAAAAAGTCAGGGTAACATTCGCTAATTCCGGCCATCGGGGTTTTCAGCATTACAAACCTGGCCTCACTCTTGCTCCACTCTACCTCTAGTTGTGGCATCATCGCCATCAGCGCGTCCTTCACAGTAGAGGAGCACGGCGCGTCTTGTTGTTGCGCACTACTCGATGCTCTGCAGCTTCACCTTAACGCCGCAATCATCATGGCGTTGTCCGACTTGAGAAATACTTTGTTTACTAGCGACAGCAATGGCTTGTTGTGGTTCTTTCTCCTGGGCATCGTCTTCCTTGTCGGCGGAAGCCAAGCGCGGACCAAGTCTGTAGATTCAAGGGAGCCACAAGAAGTGAAGCCCAAGATACCGCTCGTCGGCCATATCATTGGCTTACTAGGGTCGAGGCAAAAATACTATCGTCAACTCGGGTATGTCGAAAGCCAAGTCATTGTAGTCTAACATTCAGTACACGACTTCAATGTGACAAGATGGGCCAAAATACAAACTGATGACATCGAATTAGCCTTGAGAATGCGACACTCCCGATCTTTTCCATCTCGATGGGTGGATCCGAGAAGATATACATCATTACGGCGCCGCAGCTGATCCAGGTTGCAATGAAGAACAAATCTTTGAATCTTTACCCGGTGATGGCGGAATTCGCACAGAAGATGGTCGGTCTAGGACCAAATGTCATGGACTTGTTCCACAATCCACCAAGCGATGGCTCTGTCTCGTGGATTGAGGACCAACATCCATCTTTTGCGCCCCTGGCTCCTGGTCCTGATCTACAGGAGATGAACACCTACGTCCTAAACAAGATCTCGGAGACCATCAACTCCATCGGACCTGATTACGAGACCAAGAAGCTGTACATGTGGTTCAGGGACTCCTTCACCATGGCCACAGTGGGCTCCCTCTTCGGCGACAAGAACTCTTTGATGCAGGATCCGACCTTGAGCAAGAATCTGTGGTAAGTTGCATCTCTCAGGCTCTCGAGTCCCAGGGATTGACTGCTTACAACGTCAAATAAAGGGACTATGATGGTGGCCAAGCGGAGTTACTCATGAAACCGCTACCCTCTATCACAGTATCAAAGGCATACAACGGCCGTGCCAGGGTGCAAAAGGCTCTCCGAAAATACTTCCGCGAAGATTATGATCACATCACCGATGCCAGCAAGGTCGTCAAGCGGCGCGTGGCAGTCAACCGAAAATGGGGTCTGCCCATTGACGACATCGCGGACCACGAGTTTGGAATGCTCTTTGTGAGCGTGACTAATGCTATCCCGACACTCTTCTGGATGATGTGTTATGTGTTCCGCGATGCCGATCTTGTTGCAGACTTGCAAAAGGAGCTTCTTGCCCTTGCTGTGATACAGCAGCAAGACAGCGATGCTAGCGGGAGCCGCCCGTCTCGGAAGTGTACTTTCACCGTTGCCAAGTTCCGTACAGAATGCCCCTTGCTGGTGTCTACTTACAAGGAAGTCATGCGCCTGACAAATCGTTCGACGGGTACACGCCGTGTCGTGGAGGACACATTGATCAGCTACACACCACCCGGAGAAGGCGGCGAAACAAAGACCTACCTGCTCAAGAAGGGTGCAAACATTCAAATCCCTGCCATCATCACCAACTTTGGCCCCGACGCGTGGGGCGAGAATGCACACGAATTCAATCCGCGGCGTTTCATGACCGCAGACAGAGAACGAGAGCGGGCGCAAAACCGCGCCTTTAACCCTTTCGGTGGCGGTAAACACCTTTGTCCCGGACGTTTCTTTGCCGACGCGGAAATTTTGGGGGCGATGGCTGCGTTGGTGCTAGGATTCGAGATTGAAACTCCGGCTGGTGACAGGATCGAAGTTCCGCAGATCAATAACAACCTGGCTGAGGCTGTTGGAAAACCCTTAACGAGCGTTCAGGAGAACATGCTTGCGAGGATTCGGCGGAGGCCAGGCTGGGAGGATGTGGAGTGGGCGTATATCGCGAACAACGTGGCAACTTAGAAGGAGTAAAATATTCACAAGGCGCGCCGATCATGCCAGTTTTTCCAGTTTGTTGCAGTTCTTCGCAATATGAGGGTATGAAATTTGGCTTTATTGACCTTTGACGAAGCTGTTGCGGTCCCGGGCCGGCGTCATTCCCGGAAAGCCGGTGAGGGGTCGCCGCGGAATGCTGGCCGCGGAAACCTTCCCGAGCCGCTTATCGGCAAGGGAGTAGCAACATGGGAAGACGAAATGGCACGGGTTTCCGGGCTTACCTAACGCGTTCTCTATGAAGCTACATCATATGGATCTTTAGAACTACAAATCTTCATGTGTGTCCCCCATAGATTCACACTTCCTCTTCGTTGGCCAACAACTCGACGTTCCTTATTACTTTGCAGAATCAATGGTGCCAAACCCAAGCCAGGCACTTGCCGTCATTCCGGGCGACGCCCAGGGCCAGGTCATCTTCTCAGATGTCCCGCTCAGCTTCATGATGGGTGTCGACTCAAAGACCGGCATCGTCGCAGATGCACACCATCCCCTCCGCGGCACGTCTCTCAAAGACTCTGTCCTCGTCATCCCTGCTGGGCGCGGATCCTGTTCCGGCAGCAGCGCAATCGCAGAGCTGATACTTTGCGGCAATGCACCCGCAGCCCTTATCTTCAGGGACGTGGAGATGATTCTCACCCTGGGAGTTTAAGTTGCCGAGAAGATGTTCGACAAGCGCATTCCGCTTGTCTTCCTTTCAGACGCATCGCACTTTGAAGTCTTCCGTCAAGCTTCGACAGTGCAAATAAACGAAACGAGCTTGTTGGTTTCACCAGGCGGCCACAAGATTGACTTGGTGCCACAAAGCGTAAAGGCGTTAGAGTTGAATCCAACAGACAAAGCCATCTTGTCTGGCGAGGGCGGCGAAGCTTCTCGTATCGCAATGGAAATCATCGTTAAGTACGCCACGATACAGGGGGCACAACGCCTGATTGATGTTTCTCAAGTCCATGTGGACGCTTGTGCCTACGTTGGCGAAAGCAGTCTCCTCGTCCCTGAGCGCCTGCTCTCCCTCGGAGGAAAGTTTGTCGTACCATCGACCTGCAACTCCCTGAATGTCGACCGGCAGAGGTGGAAGGAATTGGGAGCCAACCCCGAGATCTCTCAAATATCTGACAAGATTGGAGACACGTATCTCAAGCTGGGCGCCAAGATGAGCTTCACCTGCGCTCCGTACTTGCTCGAGAGTAAGCCTAAAGCCGGAGAGCAAGTTGGATGGTCTGAGTCCAATGCAGTAGTATTCGCGAATAGTGTGCTGGGAGCACACACACAGAAGTATCCTGATTATATGGACGTTTTCATTGCATTGACCGGAAGGGCTCCTTATGCCGGGTGTCATGTGCCAGAGGGCAGGAAGCCGGAAGTCATAATCAAGGTCACCCAAATTAGCGCATTTGATCCATCGTTTTTCGCCCTTATTGGCTACAGCATTGGACATGTGGTCGCCGCCAAGATCCCTGTTGTCATTGGAATGGAGACGACACGACCGACCGTATCGGATCTGAAGGCATTCGGGGCGGGGTTCGCAACGAGTTCATCTGCTCCCATGTTTCACATCAATGGCATCACGCCAGAGGCTGCAAGTTTCGAAGATGCACTCGCCACTCTAGAAACCATCGAGGTGACAATTCCTGAACTTCAGTTGGCCTGGAGACAGCTCAATACGGCTACGGACCCTTCTGTCGATATCGTCTCCCTAGGAAATCCGCACTTTTCCCTAGAAGAATTCTCACAACTTGCCGAAGTGTGCCGCGGTAGACGCAAGTCACCTAATGTCGAAGTCATGATCACCACTGGGCGTGAAACATACACAGAGGCCCTGAACCTCGGCTATCTAGACGTTATCGAGAGCTTCGGTGCCCGGCTGATAACGGATACGTGCTGGTGCATGATAGAGGAGCCGGTCGTTCCTCTGAAAGCAAGAAACGCTATGACAAACTCTGCCAAATATGCTCACTACGGCCCGGGGATTGTGGGTAAGAAGTTTCACTTTGGAGATGTTGTAGCGTGCATCAAGGCGGCAAGTAGAGGCCATAGACATGAAGACGAGATGAGCCCGCGGTGGCTTTTCCGGTGACCCATAGACAGTCGGGATTACTCGCTTTGCATTCAGAAAGTTGAATAGAAAGATATCATGATCAAAGGTATAGGACCGAAGGTCGTAGACTGTCATATGCACTACAAACTTGAGCCCAGGTTGAACAACTGCAAAATGAGCAGTTCTCGTTAAGAAAGTAGGTTGAACAAGTATTGTCTGTTGCCGGAAGGTTCTTCAAGCACCAATCAGAGTTGTCCTTGACGCCTTATGTATCAATTCACTACCGAGAGCGTCATACCCAAGAAAAGATCGGTAGTCGCGGAAGCAGATGATCGATATTTGCACGCAAACTTGAGACCGATAACTTAATCGTTAGACCATGGATTGCCGCTGCGCATCAAGCACGATGCGAACGGAACGAGGTCAATGCTCTGGATGTACGGCGTAACAAATAACGAGATTGTCATCTATGAAATCAACGCGACTTGGCACTGGATCTGTTGCGGGAATGACGGAGTTCGTTCGGAAATAACGTCTTTATTTGTATGTTGCGAGCTGAACAACCCCACAGCGACATGTGATCCAAGGCAGCATTATTCCTACAGGCCTTCAGAGGAGTTATGATGCAGGATTCAATGTTTTCGGTCGTGTTTGTCCATCTCGCGTATGGACACAAAAGACTCTACTTACGAATGTATATTTTCCATCCAGGCAGACGCTCCTTTGAGGCTGAGATTCACCAGTTTAACGTCTGTCATCTCGCGCATCTTGGCTTTCCAGGCACCCGAGTTTCAACTCAACAATATCGATCTTGGCTGTGTTGTCAGGTTGTGTATGGGTTTGATCCTCCAGAATTTCGCGCCTTGCCACACCCGCGACTGACAGCGGCCGTCCCAACTTCAGCTTTCGCCAATTCGAGCCCAATGAAGCCTTGAAGGATCTTCGAAGGACCAGAACCACGCGATGGCATGGATCTGTTTCCGGAGAGAAGGAATCATCACCAGAGTCCAGCCCCTTTGGCCCGCTGTTGAGAACTTGCAACCCCACGAAGGCCATCTAATGACCCTCTTTTTTGATTATGCTAATCCCACAACCGAAGCTAGCGGGCACCTAAGCGGAAGCCATTCGCGGGATCCCGCTCCATCACAAATGGAGCCCCAATCAGCGCTTATCCTCATTCAGAAAGGAATTGCCTTGGAGGCTCCATCTTAAGCAGGGATTACAATCCTTCAGACCCCTTACCGTCGCTTGGCGCCAGTCAACCGCCATGAATTCCTCGAGAAGAGCCAAAGTCCCGACGATAATCCACAATCTGTGGCGCTCAACGTTGCGGCCTGTCGATATGGGGCTCCATAGAACCATAACGATGTTGTCTTCCCCTCCAGGTTCCTGGGTTTGGACGCCGATGCTTTAAATCTTTCATCTGTTCCCCCCTTTACATGCTGGAGATGTTCTTGGTCCCGTTTTGCTCCGCGATTGAGCAATGAGCGCGGCATCATGACAACTCCCAACAACAACGCGTCTCCGCCGGAGTACTACAGCGGCCTTGAGGTAGACAGCCGACCGGGCCGATCGCCGGGAGGGTATGGCGATCAAGACTTGAGCAAGTTCCGTGTCGCGGACCAGAATAACTTGCCCGAAGTTGACAACCATGACGGCGACCTTCCACAAGCCGTGCACCCGTACGGCCATGATTACTCTATGCTCCAGGCCGTTCACCCGGCGGAGGGCGGCGTCTCACCAGCCGAATATCAAAGTGGTCCATATGATTCAAGCGGGTACTACGCTCCGAAAGAAGACAACCCGCCAGAGGTCGTGACAGCAGAGATCGACGAGAAGCAGCAGAAGAAGAGGGTGGGCACAATATGCGGCATGCGACGCAAGACCTTCTGGATCGTTCTAGCCGTGGCGCTCATTATTGTCATTGGCGCTGCAGTAGGAGGAGGCGTCGGTGGCGCATTGTCGGCAAGCAACAGCTCGCAACAATCAAGCAGCAGCTCGGGAGGATCAAGCGGCGGCGGAAGCGGCAGCAGCGGTACAGGAACCGGCAGCGGCGGTGGGAGTGGAAGCGGCGACAGCAGTGGTGATAGCAGCGGCGATTCTAATAGCACGACGACAACGAATGAGCTGGATATCCTGCCCACCAGTAGCATTGGCGCGCTCAACTTCACAGACTACTATGGCTACGTGAACCACCTCGTGTTCTACCAGCTGCGGTCTAAGAACCTCATGATGTCATCCTACAATTCTTCAACGAAAGTTTGGAGCTCAACAATTGCCAATAGAGAGAGCACGATCAAGGAGGGTACTCCCATCTCCAACAGCTTGTTCTGGCATAGCAGTAAGGTAAGCTTCCGTTATCCCTTCAGCTACTCAAATGCGTGTGATCAATGCTAACCCTATTCTTCAGGTCCGCGATGTCCGTATCTACTACCTCAACGAAGCGAATCAGGTTGCAGGCATCATCAATGCCAATCCCGTTTACGGCTCGTCGTGGGATAAATCCGGCGTTTCAAACACCTTTACTGCGAACGCGAAGTCAAATCTGCTGTCTAACGGCATCTATACCCCCGACTCATACCTATCGAACCTTGTTCTATATCAAGACGCTGGAAATACCATCCGTGTTCTCCGCCGGACAGGCGATGGAGCGACAGATTGGGCCGCCGTGGGCATATCGACCGATTTTGGAAAGCCTGCAGAGGGTACCGGGATGTCTATGATTCCCATCTATACCAACGCGACCACGAAGAGGATGGCCATGTTCTATACTTCTGAGACAGGCTCACTCATCCATCTCACACTCGTCAACGACAATGACTGGACCAATAACACCTTACCAACCATGCTCGAAACTAACGCGACAATCGCGGCCTTCTCGAGCGGATACGAAAGCAACAACAACCTGGTCATGCACGTACTGGGGGCACAGGCGGACAAAGCACCTGTGCTGACAACGTACGCTGAAGGAGAGTGGACCAACGTAGGGGAGGTTTCCACCATGTCCGGCGAGGATAGGCCCTTCAAGATTGCGGCCAACTCCGCTGGGAGAGTCTATGGTCTCGTACAGCGCAATGCTACCAAGGTTGAGATCGTCGAGTGGGAGTGGATTGGTGGTACAACATATAATAAGATTGGTGTGATAGATACCGTCTCATGATCTGAGGAGAGGTCCTATGTGGGTGAATACAAGGTAATCCGGCTCTCGTGATCCCTCAAGAGCGACAATAATAAATACAAGAAACAGAATAAAAACAAGATCAAAACATACTATCTCCCCGATGACCCCAGCCCGTTATAACTCCACACGTGCATTCAAGACCACTGAGACTCGGTCTTGATGTTGATGCCCACATCGTACGTATCCCAGCTGGCGATAAGACTCGGGAAGTTGAAAGCCGAAAAGTCTGGTTCAGTCTTGATCATAGGACAGAAGTCGTTCTGTTGTTGCTGTGACAGCTTCTCAATGTCAGTCTTAACCTGTCCCAAACCGGCTCCACGATGTAGATCTTTCACAGCAAACATACCATCTCCAGATCCCTCTGCTGAGCAAAGTGCGAGGTGCAATCATTTTGCAAAAAGCCCGGGCTTCGGCCCATGCTGGCTTCCCTTGCCCGGCTAGGGTGATCCCTCACGGCCGGGGTCGGGGCGGCGGGAAGCGGGTCAACCCGTGAAGCACGGGCTGCCTTGCGAGCCTTGGACCGGGCAGCAGCGGCGGCAACCCGCGCTCTGTGCTCAGCTTTGACTTTGGCGACGAATTGTGGTATCGGGTGGGGGCATCGGTCTTCATAAACGTGCTGAAGAATGACAACTTTGTCAGTTCAGTGTTCGTGAAGTTTGTCATGATGAGATGAGAGGGAAACATGTATGATGTTCGTGGACTCACGCGGTGCATGCTGCCTATCTTGGTGAACCCTTTGAAGCATCCAGGGCAGATGGCTTCAATCATCTTGGGAACACGGGGCATGGTGAAGCGGGTAATAGGCATCTTGGCGGTGTTCCTCAACACGAACTGGTCGTACTCGCTGAACATACTGACTGGAGATTAGATGACACGATAAAGAACAGGGCAGAAGTTCGTCAAGTGGTTAATGATTGACGATTGACTGCGAACATAACCTGGGGTTACCCTCCCTTTTGTCTTGCTCACCGTGGCTGGTGGGATGGCGTCGGGTCAAGGAACTGTTCACTGAACAGCTGCGATGGCTTCTCAAAGAGCTTCCAACTGGGCTCCATAACTATTCGACAGGGATCAATCAATTTGGGACAGGAATGTCGCAACAGTTGAGTGATTGTCAATGACGACCTGCCATACCAGGATGGCGCGGCAAGCGCGCTTTCCATCGTCTAAGTAAAGCGCTTATTGCTTCTTCTTCCGGGCCCATCGTGTGAGTCTCGCAGTCTGGCACTCGGGGGCTAGGTTCATGTCTTTGTTGGTAGTCAATTATCACAGTCAACGACGCAACCAACACTGGTGTAGGACCCCCTCGGGGCCGAGTCTGGGGGGCCTGAGCTGGTGGAGGGTAGTCTCTCGAGACTTTTGTCAATGTGCGGAGTCCCTGTCACCAAGATAGATGAGGATGAAAGAAACCAAGTCTTACTTCCTCGTGCCCGGAGCTCCGTCAATCGGCGATCCCATGGCGTCCTGAAGTTCGAACAGTGAAAGTGATGTTTGGGGCCTTTGGGCAGAACGAGCCACACCAGGCAAGGTCAGTTTGATAGCATTCTCCACAGCCAGACGAATTCATCATGTCATCGGCAGTAGTGATCAGAACAGTCTCTTTGTGTCCGAGCTCCCAGGCGGTTACTCGGTCAATCGGCAGGTGTCCAACAGACAAGGGTCACCCGTGGCGAGACGGCAAAGTGCCTTCGCGAGAGGACCGCCCACCTTCCTCTAAACACTTCCTCTAAACAACGACATCTGGAAACCTGGAGAAAGGCTCAAGAGCTAGTCACTTCGCCTCGTTTCAGACCAGGGTACAAAAATGAAAGGTTTTGTTCACCATGCGAGGCTGACTATGGCGAGGATCGTCGACTTGTAGCCCCGCGTCCTCGCACTGGAGCTTTGAACTATTACCTAGCGGGGTCCAGACCGGAAGACCTTCATGTTGGTTGCACAGCAGTCTGGGCCCGTTATAATACCCAGCGACGTTCCAAGCCACGAGAAGTGAGTGGCTCCTGGCCATGATCCTTGTCCAGTTCGCATTAGTAGGAATCCCACGCCGCATGCGACACCATGTGACCTGTTTTAATCCCAGGTGCCATGCAGCGAAGTCGCATGTTTAATGAGCACAGCCCAGGTTCCTGTTCAAATGTTTGTTCCCGGCTTCTCGGGTCTTGAAGCAAACCTCTGTTAGAGAAGGTGAGCGGTGAACAGCGGTGAACCAACGAATAGCAATCATCCCCAATGATCAATACGAGTGAGGGCGCCGCCGTATTTGACGTGCCCAACACCTTGTACCAACATCGTATCTGAGCGTGGTATATCACCCAAATCCGGCCCGGCTGCGGTATTTTTCGAATTTGACTAAGCTCAAGTAGGTCGTGCTTGTTTAAATCCTCCAACAAAATCAGCGCTGAATCTTGTCTGCCGAGGTGCGAGCTCCCGCAATATCCGCAGCTCCCGTCCTCGCCCGCGGCCCGCACCTTTGATGGATTCGCGGTCAGGCGGGCGTCGAATAAACTCCCTTGCATCATGATGCTCACACGTGCTGGGTGGTCCTTGCAAAGGCAGACTGTACCTGAACTAGACGCAGACGAGGACAAATAGGCGCGGGGTCGCGGGCGACTTCTTGGGAACGTCATCGCAATGGTCTCGTAACCGTACTGTGCTCATCCGCGCCCAGACCGGCGCGCAAGGCCGCGCTAGATATGCAGACATTAAGCGGTGAACTGGAAATCGCCAAGGAGTGATTCAACTTTCATTGACCAAATGTCAATCTAGTACCTTTCAACATGTTCGAGTCCAATAAATAGACGAGTGATTAGAATGGTTATCCAATCGATCACTCACCGAAGGAATCTCTGTGTTAGATAATAGCCAGCAACTCTTCCTAAAAACCACGATGTTCGCGCGCAGCTCCGGTTGTCGGCGGATGCCCATCGGGTTGGTGCAGCTTTTGGCCCGAGAACCCACTGATTCGTACGAATAGTGAACCCATGCCATGACGGACATGAAGCATGAGGCATAAGCAGGAACATACTTGAGCTGTCAGGGCCGCGTCGTCTGTCAGCCTGTCATTGCCTGTCGAATTTCAGGAGAAAAATGCAGTGGACAATCTGCGCCACGGTGACCACATATTCTTTGTTCTACATGCATCTTGCTGCACGACTGTGGCATATTTATGTACCCAAACCGCCAAGCTCAAAGGCTTTGAGAGCCTCCAAGTTTCGGTAAAGCTGGTCCATTCAGAAGATCAAAGATTTACCCCTCCATTTAACATCATTTGGATAATCCACTCGGCACTTTGCCAAAACTTCCGGCTATTCAGAAGGTCACATTGCCCTAATACAAACGGCCTGGTGATGTAGCAATGTGGTCTTTCTCAACGTCAAAATGATTTTAACCATCGGCGCGCTGCCGAGAAGTTCGGGGGTCGGGACTCATCTCTCCATTCCATCCATTAACATGACTCCTGGCATCTCATTACGCCTTCATTTCGTCTCGGATAAAAGGATGTATTTTGTTTTTGGAGGGAATGCCAATTGCAAGCGCTTTCTATGAGACTTGTGGACATGATAGGACCGTCAACAGGCGCCTTAAAAGGTCCATGGTAGCATATTTTACCATTGAGAGTCTCTGATCCCATTACCTGCAGTTCTCTTCTTGTCCTTTTCAAAGCCAACTCCTGAGAAACAAATGATTTTCTAGTTTACGAACATGCAGCTTACCAAAGTCTGTCTTTCCTTCGGTGTATTTGCAGCTGCTTTCGCGCAGTCCAAGATCAAAATCAGTGAGTTCAAGCCATCAAGCAACAGGCCAGAAGGCAACTAGCTGATAATTTTCGAGTGCCTCTGGGTGACTCCATCACCGAGATAACTTGCTGGAGAGCCCTGGTATGGGACCAGTTTGTCAAGGAGAATCTTGCCGACAAGGTGCAATTCGTTGGCTCCATGACCAACAACCCCCAAAATTGCCGAGCACAGTCTGGCTCTTTTGACCTCCATCATGAGGGCCACTCAGGTTGGCTCTCCATCAACATCGCCAACCAGTACCTACAGGGGTGGCTGGCAAGCACTAAGCCTGATATTGTGCAGTTCATGCTTGGCACCAACGATGTAGCGCAAGGGCGCACGACCAACGACATTGTCGCTTCGTACACGAGGATAGTAGGGTTGATGAGGGCGTCCAACTCGCGTATGAAGATTCTAGTTTGGTCTCTTGCAACATCTAACAACTTGCGCGACTGTTGACACGAGTCTTACCTCACAGGTTGATCGCTTGATCCCGTTGTCCTTCAACGGGGGTGGAATCGATACTTTGAACCAGCGAATCCCGGGATGGGCCATCGAACAGAACTCGACCAGCTCTTCAATTACAGTTGCAGACTGCTCGAGTTCTGCCGGGTTCACAACCTCCATGTTGCGAGATGGCGTACACCCCAACGATCAGGGAGACCAGATCATAGCCCAGAAGGTTGGTCGATTGCTGATCAAGTACGTCAGGGATCTCATTGCCGAGCGCGGGCTTTGAAATTATCGTACAGGGAGTTTGGGTGATAGTCAACTCGACTGGGTGCTGAGATAGCATATATAGAGATCTACGTAGCAGTAAGATTCATCTAGGTTGAGTCAGGGTTCGTTGAACTGAGGCGCATGTGCCTAAGGACGTTGACAGTTCTATGCTCAATGCAAACTCTCTTTTTTGATAGTTGAAGTTGTAGTTACATCCACTGTAGACGTCTAATGAACGTTGATGTAGGGAATCCTCAAGATGTCTCCCCGCAAGAAGGCTGACCCGCGTCGGAGTAAGCCACATACAACAAAGGTAAGGTTCTCTATTGGTGAGGAACATGCTTTGTGTAACGATCCGAAGTTTTCAAAGGCAACGAACCTTCGGGTCCACTTTGTCCGCGAGATAGCCTTGGAAGGCCGCCAGGATGACTGAGCGCCGAGAGCCAAGACCGAGAATCGAGCGAGTGTGGGATTCCAGGCCGACCTCCATATTGAAGAGGCGCATCGGTCTTCAATCGATAGACACTGAGTGACCTATATAGAGATAATGTGCGCTCATCAACTTCTAAAACCAAGAGAGAATCAATCGTCCTTTCGCTCAAGTGAGGGATGAAGATTTAGCTCATCCCATCGGGAATATCGCGATCTCCCCGACCCGAAAGGATGCGGGAACTTAGTTTCGTTCTCGCGTTTGGCATTTACACTCGAGCACGGACGAACTTGAGGGACTTCCGGCTACCAGAGTCTAACAATTACTTACCCTCCGAGACGTCTGACATCTGGCTCCCGCTCACCAGCACCAGTCTGTGCTCGGCATGATCCCTCCGCTGCAAGATAGTCTTCCGTAGATAAGGAACTCGCGGACGGACATGGCAAGATATGCGCAAAGTCTGTCGGCCGAAACGAGGGCTTCTTTGCCGAGTAAGAATGTTAGATGGCTTTTAAAGTGTTTGCTTGGTCAAGCTCCTTCGCTAGTGCATATGGGCACATCCTGCTGTTTCTTTCCCCCTCGAAGAATCGCTTCGTCAACAAACCCATGCCACACAAATCCCCCCTCCAGTTTACATCAAAATCTCCGGCACGACAATGTCAGATCCTCTTGAGCTGGAGCTCGATCGCCCGAAGAGGAATTCCAGAATGATTGAGAAGTTTGATGACGAGATCAAGGTCGCGGGGGTGGTAGACCAGCAACCGGTTGTCTCGAGGAGAGAGTCGGTCCAAAGCGATACGTATGGATCATCTGCCGGCGCCACAACCTTCGACAAGAAGCTCCTCTACAAACTCGATATGCGTCTAATGATTGCCATGTTCTTTTTGAACTTCTTGTCGTTAATGGGCCGCACAAATATCGGAGCCGCACTGATCCGGCAACTTCCACAAGATCTTCATCTCGACGCGATGAAGGTGTTTATCGTTCTCACGATGCCAGCGGCGCCGTTGATCCTATTCGAGGTGCCAAGTAATCTACTTATGCGCTTTCTGAATCGCAAGTTCAACTTCCCATACTTGTGGTACATGTGTACTCTCGACATATTACTGGGTAAGTCTATATTTGTCACCGAGTCGTGTTATGCGGGGGGTTATTGTAAAATTGAACGCAGAAGCTTCGGCTATCATGAACGAGCTGTGTTGATGTGCATGCTAATGATAAGTACAGGTATAATCACGATCGGCCAAGGATTCGTCAAGACATTCGATCAGATGATAGCCACCCGATTCTTCGTTGGTGTCTTCGATGCAGGTCTCATCCCTGGCTGCGTCTTCTTGTGTTCTCTTTACTACCCTCCAAGGCATCTTCAATGGAGACTTGGACTGATTACTGTCGCCAATATCTGTTCAAATATTGCCGGGAACTTTCTTGCATACGCAATCGCCAACATCCAAACCACTGAGAATTTCAAAGGGTGGAGATGGTACGATTCCAATCCCCGCATTATTTTTCGAAACGGCTCTAACATCTCGTAGGATCTTTATTATTGAGGGTATCTTCACTGTGGTAGCTTCTCTGGCCTGCCTTCCTGCTAATGTTGGACCTCCGGAGAAGGCCAAGTTCTTGACGGAAGAAGAAAAGCGACTTATCAGAAATTCAGTCGAAATACGCAGCACAGAGATCGGTGTTGTAGCAGAGTGGAAAATGTTTTTCACAAACCCCCTCAATTACTGCTGGGCTGCCCTCTACTGCTTCACGACTACAACCGCTTACTCAGTTTCCATCTTTTCTCCGTCCTTTGTCAAGTCCTTTCACCCGGAGCTCAGCGCTGCAGATGTACAGGCGCAGATTGTTCCCATCTTCGTGGTGGCTGCTGTGGCATGTCTTACAACTGCTTACGCAGCTGACCGTCTCAACCACCGCGCGGCCTTCGGCCTTGGCGGCTTCATTTTCACCATCGTTGGCTACGCAATCTTGAGGCAAGATGAACACGAAAGCACAAATGTGACCATGATGGCGCTGTACTTCATCGCCTTCGGCACCTTCATCACTCTTCCCATGATCTGGATCTTGACTATGCAAAACTTGCAGACGCCTTTCCAGCGAGCCATTGGGAGCGGCTTTGTGGTTGGAGTTGGGAACACATCAGGCTACATCTCAGCCTGGATATTTAAGACAAGCGACGGCCCGTATTACAAGAATGGCATGACGATCAGCATGATCCTAGTCGTAATTGCATTTGCCATTCTTTCGACAACTTGGCTTTACATCGAGATGCATAATAGGAGGCTTGATAGAGAGGAGAGATTGCATCCGTCTGCGGGAGCTGGAACCAAGAGGCTTACCGGGCGAAGTTTCCGGTACAAGGCATAGTTTATCGTCACTTTATTACACTTGGAAGGTTCCGACATTCGGCCTGGACGTTCCGAAGCCCTTGGGCGTATTTGAAGCCCGACACGCCCCTATATTTCATGTCGCCGATCTGAATATGTCAAGCATGTTTCCGACTATTTTGCTCTTGAGCTGTGATGAACTTCCATTTCTAAGTGTCGGGATCCCTGTGATGATTGTGTAGTGTTACCTGCCACCACCTCATGCAGCTAGATAACCTCATTTTCGTTCCGAATGATCTCGATACGAGCCCATATCCAATCAGATGTGGCTGACAACGCATTACTATTTCCCCGCGGGCCTCACTGCGGTGTGACGTCCAGATCGCTGAATCCTAAAGAACCGAATTCAAAAACCCACATAACCCTGATACCCGGTCAAGGGCATTATTCACGTCTCCATTTCACTTTCTCTTCGTGTCACGAGGAATCGACTACTGACATTATGTCGCCTTTATTCTGATAATTCAAACTTCGAAGAAAGACATGGCAGTCACGTCCACACTTTACACTCCCTTGGTGGAAACCCATTTCTACTCCACAGGTGGCTACCAGCTCTCCACTGTGTATACCTTGCAGCCACAAACGACACCCTTCACACCGAGAGATAGTACCTGTTCCATACTACCTCGAGCTATCCGGTGCGTAGAGGCCAAAAGTGAAGATATCACATCGGGCTTCACTTGTTACGGTCTACAATTTGTGGGAGAGACAACGACATCGGTACCAACACAATGCTTTCCGGAGAGTTACATAAACATCTGGAGACCTTTCGACGAGTTCAGTAGGACCTCCTTGAGCCATGCCACACAAACTACCATAAGCAGAAAGTTAGCCTTGAAAGGTGTACATGTACTAACAATTTTCGAATCAAGGTGATATCCCGAGTTTGGCTTACCCAGGCACTGCGTGCATTAGCGGGTGGACAACTGCGTGTTCCACGGATGTCACGGAGACAAGTGGAAAAACGCATGCACAAACTTGGTGCTGCCCCTCTGGCTGGGGCTGTCTCAGTGCTTCGAATGGTGGTATCCCTCACCGGGAATGTACAAGCCTCCTGAGTACTCCGACTGAAGTGTGGATCAACAACGTTGTAACTACGAGAGAAAGTGAAAGCACCATTACGACATCTTGGACGAAAGTCTTTCTCTCAAACCTGCCTAGAGGGGGCCCAATCATTATCAATCATCCTGTTTTTCCACTTTACGGCAAAGTTCCGCCTCGTCAGGTTGAAGGTGCCAGAGAGACCTCGTTATCTGGAGGGGCAATTGCTGGTATTGTAGTTGGAATCGTGGTTATACTCATGGCTCTCATTGGTTGTAGCTGGTTTATATGTCTTAAGAAGAGAAAGCAAGAACGGGGAACCCGGCTGCTACAAAGAGACACTGCCGTTGGGAGGGGAGAGCACTCTTTTGTGAGAGAAAACCATGACTCGAAAACGAAGTCACCAAATCATGATCGAGACGCTCAAGAGATGTGTACGTTAAGGCCATCTGCTGTAGAGCTCCCGTCCCATAGCCGAGCTGCCGAGGTCGAGGGAGATAGTCGCCCAGTTGAACTGGAATCTTAGGTAAACATTAGTAAAAGGAGCAACGAGAGCAAATTCGAACAAAAAAAAGCTACGTACTACCCCAAAGTCAAGGTCCATTACCGGGCGAGGAAACGTGTTCTGATATTCGACGCAGAATTAATCCTGTTTTCCAGATTATTTTAGCCCTTATGTGCGTGAAAAGCTCAGCAATTGCAAGTAAATCTTTCCTCCATGATCGTTTGGTAGGGTATACTTGCATACACGTATTTTCTGAGGTAAGTCATCGCAGAGTATCCTATAGATATATCCAGGATCTTCGACCTAGTATCTGCGTCATCCTTCTGATAGACACAGGCCTCGAACGGCTACCCCAAAACATCACATAGTTGGAACGCGACGCTGCAAACTTGTATGTACTTTGATGACCAGTTATGTCAAAGTTGGATTGAAATCACGCCTACAGCATGCATGGAATCGGACAACAGCGTGACCAATACCGTCCGCAAATTTGAAAGCTTATCGACAAAGAGGCCATTTGTTCAAAGTTGAGCAAACATCGCCGGGTTCCCTGTATTGAGACGTGCAGACTAATGCTCGCAGGGGCAGAGCCCGTGACGTAATGTGGAGCTTGAATACAGGATCAGAAGAAGACGCATGCTTCATTTGACAATCTTCATCGCATGTAGCGAGCGGAGCTATGCCTACCTACCTTACCTAGTATTCAACACGCCTACAGTTCAAAAAGCAAAAACAGAGCCACACCGCCCAAGAGTGAATGCCACGAAAGTGTCACTGATCAGATTTAACACTTGGAGATAGGTTCAGATGGCCATATCAATGAAGTATCTCTTGAGAATTGATGCAAAAAGGGACCGCCTTCGTAACTGTAGATCGGATGTTGGAGATTGAACCAGCCATCACCAGGCTGCAACTAAAAGTACGTTTGCCAATACTTGAATTATTTAGGTACAGTTTTCAGCCATCGCATCTTAACCATGCATTTGCTCACTCATGTGATGTAAAAATGTTTCAGCCACAGGACCGCAAACAGCTCCTAAGCTTGGTTCAAGATCCATTAGCAGGCCGTGGATGTTTGCCAGTAAATGCCTTTGAAGCCTGGAATTCCAAGGCGATCATGGCTTCAAGCTGGTGTAACATGACGTTTGTCTCGACTACTTGTAGCTCACGTCACCGTGCTCTTCATTGTAACTGGCAACGTTTGCTAACATTGCCAAACCAACAAACAAAACAGTCTGCTTGCTCCTTAACATATTGTGCAGCTTTTGGCGAATGATGTGATGACATCCGAAGAGCACGAATAGAATATCTTGACGGCTTCTGTTGTATGGTGGTGCTGGACGCGCAAGTCTGACCATTTGAATCTCCTGGACTTTCCAAAATGCTTCTGGAGGGCTGGAGTCATTCTTTTGTACATCTTCCTTCTGATTGCCTGGGACGCCTGATAGATGTTCTTGGAAGTATTGGTTGCAAAGAGGCTGCATCATAGCTGCTAAGCGGGCCAGTGAGATCAATCGTTAAGGGGGCACGCATCCTCGGAACATGCAGGGAAGCTTAAGGAGATCAGATTCGTCGACTTCCTTTTCTTTGAGCCAAGAAAAGAAGTGGAAAGAGCGGAAACTCTTGAGTTAATGATGCCCATTGTGAGATCAAGTCTTAACAGTGCTCTACGGTCTGCCAATTGTCCATGTCTGTTGGTTTGCTTAATTTTCCGTAGAGTGAGATTACGACACCACCCGTCCATGAAGATCAATTGATTACCTTTCCTATTTTGAGTAGTGTAGTCTCGATGTAGGATTGGATTCATGCAGCAGCTGAAGCTAGTAGGCAATCATGCATGGTTGGTCGCGATTGCGTCCTTCAAAGGAGTTAAGCAATAATACTCGATACGAGTTTTGGTTGCCGAGATGTGAGATACGGCTTCATGTTCATTTTAGGGCTTATAAGTAGCGATGGCTCTTCCTTCGTACGAGATCTTTTGATATCATCCCAAGGTCCAAACCAGCACATACACGCTTTATCCAAATCTAACCTGCACAGCAACGCCCACCATGCGAGCCAGCCTTCTTCATTTGATGTCATCAGCCACGATGATTGTTGCTGTAAGCTTGAACCCGACCAAGTCTTTGAAGCAAGAGCTAACTGATCAGGCTGTTATTCCCGCGGATGTGCCCAAGGGCTACGGGCTGTACATTCCCGAATGGGAGTTTCAGACTCCAGAAGGAGAGAACATCACCATCAAGGGTACAATCCAAGAGGTCTATGCTACCCTCGGTAGTCTTAATCCTCAGATGGCCCAGATGAATGGCTTCGACCTTGAAGCAATTTCGAATATTGCTCGTAGTGACGTGGAGAAGCGCGCCAAATTTCCCAGGGTCGATTGCCAGAGCTTGGAGGAGGGTCACACCGACATGTATGAGACGACCATGGAATACCTCAGGAGAGTTCCAGGGAAACCGAAGAACTCTGCTGGCCCGAGAGAATGTGGCCGCGTTAGCTGTGCTTGGAAGAGTGCGACTTGGTGGTGCAATGATGTGGGTTCTCCACCAGACTTATTCCTCAATTCTCCTTCATGAGGGTTGTATGGTTTTTGCTGACAAAATTCAGGCTCTGGAGGAGAAGGAGCTTAGTTCATTCGGTGAAATTGCCGATGGCGTACAAGTGATCTATCACGAATGCACCGACGTCGATAAACACTACTGGTGGTCCTCTGGTGAAGCTTACACCGACGATGATTGGAGTGTCCAATTTGGGTACGCACCATGCTAGGGCGATCAACCAGATCAGAGGAACTCTATGAATTTCGTGCACTGCAAGAATGACGCTAGACACTAGAGATCGTACTTTCTTCGCTCAGTTACCTTGGCATGCCAGCTTATGATTTTCTGCCATGAGGAAAGTCGATATCATAGTGGGAGAATACCTTGAGTAAGGGAAAGAGGGGGAGAGCTGTCAATACTCACATTTCCTATTCGACCTATCATTTTTTGGCTTGCCTGCGATCACAAACTTACAGTCCTTACTTTCAGTAAACTTAAAACTCTATTGCAACTACCAAATGCATTGGCAACTTGAAGCGACCATAACTTCCGTCTATAATACGGAACACAAATTGAAGTCTAGAAATTTAAGCAAAGCAGGGTCACATTTGAATTGTGCATAGTGACATGAGTTACATACTTCCACTGTTGAAGAAGCCGATATCTCTGGCGAAGTTTCCGGCATCCATTTCTCTACTTTAGAGCCTTAGACTACCTAGGTGTTTCAGCCGAGTACAATGATCCCTCTTTTCTATTCACACCCATGTTGTTGGGAAATCATGACCTAAAGCTGACCGAGACCTCTCCGTCTTCTCTTACTTAAACAGACCAATAAGCGCACGCTAATAGTCGCATATCCTTGCCTTTGGATGATGTTGACGGCTCCTCCGGAAAGAATGAGCAAAGCATGGAGGCTACGACAGCGCAATCTCCTGTGGCATGTGCGCAGCTTGATTCCTGCTCTCGGCCGAATGCCTCGGCTGTTAACCCCTCTCATCTCGAAACTGCCATTTACAGAAGAAAGACGAGCTGGCCTTACAATACTATGTCGTACCGAAACTTCATGATTCGGTTAGCTCTGTTGATCCCCTTATTCATGCGCCCGGTAACCGTACGGCTAGAGGCCCGAGTGGCTCCGCACCGTGAACGTGGGGCTCATCCGAGCATCGCGGGCTGCTCCGCGTCGCCTCATGTTATGGCTACAATTAATATCTTGACTGATCCAGACCACAGATTTTGCCCTAACCTATCTGTACGCGAAAGGCTTGATTGATAATCAGCCCAATAATAGCTCAGTGCGTTGAACACTAACGACAGGCTGGAAAAAGGGGATGGGGCTGAAGATACACCCGACGCGTCATCTACGAGTACAACAGCTTATTACACCATTGCGTATATAAGCTTGTCTTGGACACCATGGAACTCTACCTAGCCAGATTCTCTGGGATATTCCAACACTCTTTTCTTTCCTATACTCGAAAAACTCGCCATGAGGGGTCGTTCTCTTACTCTCGCCACTTTGGCGTTAACAGCGCAGCTCGTTTCAGCTCTTGCACCCGGTCTTGAAATCGCCCTTACCTTGGACCGCGCAACTCAAGGCATCAGTATCTCGACTGATGGACGAAAATTCTTGACGCAGAGATATTCTACGACGGATGCACCTCAAGCCGTAGAGCTTCTTAGCAACGGCACGACTGTTCTGTACCCCGACTCAACGTGGAACTCCTGGACCTCAAACTCCACCCTGGACCCCAAGAAGGCCTTTGTCAGCATTGATGGTGCTCGCATCGGCCCCGATGGACGATTCTGGATCGTCGACGGCGGTACCACTGATAGTGATCGCAATCTTATCAATGGATCTAGCAAGCTCGTTGGCATCAACCTCGAGAGCAACCTCGTCGACAAGGCATACTATCTCGATAACCTTACAGAGACCGGTAGTGTCATCGACGATGTCCGTTTCAATGGAAACTACGCCTATCTCAGCGATACACTTGGTGCATTGGTGGTGATGGATCTTACCACTGGTCAAGGTCAGCGTGTACTCGTGGGTCACAGCTCGGCTCTGGCCTGGTTCCCCATGGCCTACAACGGTAGTCTTGTGCCGGGGTACCAGGGCGGAACCAGCACTCTTTCCGTTGGCCTCGATCAGATTGAGGTGTCCCCTGATGGTGTCTATCTGTACTATCAGCCTTGCAACGGCGGCATGTACCGCGTTAAGACCGAATTCGTCAACGGAGCCTTGACGAACAGCACTCTTGCTGCCAACCTCGGATACTACGTTGAGCCATTCGCCCTGACCCCTTCCACTGGGGGCACCACTATTGACGGAGACGGAAACATCTACGTTAGCGACACCAACCTCCTCGCTATCTGGAAAGTCAAGCCGGACGGAACTTCGTCCATCCTTGTTCAGGATGATGCTCTGGTGTGGACCGATCTGATGTGGGTGGATGCGAACAAGACCCTTTGGCTTCCCGCCTCGCAGATGCGGCCCGGGGCGAACGGACTAATGGCCGATGGTCCTCACAACATTTTGACCTTTCCCATCGAGGCGGGTCCGTCTTTGATTGACCATGCCTAAAGCCAAGCTCACAGCACCATACCACTCGTACATCTTCTGTAAATATCTACTATCTATAGACCCTGTGTATACATTGTCTCTGATGACTCTTTGGGTTGGAACCCAAGACAGTCGAAAATTTCCTGCTTATATCATGACTCTATATCTTAAGGTTCCTCTCCCTCTCCGCTAAGACAATACCTTGCCTCCTTAGGTCCAAAAAGCTTCTTCTTTCATGTGTCTGAATGACACGGCTCTCACCACGCAATTGGTTTTGCGTTCAAAACTTGCAAACCCCACTTTTGCACTATCTTGATCAAGAGACTTCGTGAATCCTCGTCTACTTATCAAGTGGGCTGGTGGTCTGACGTCGTACAGGTAGCAAATCCTGACTTGCTTGGCAAATGCCAAGTCGGAGAAATTCCGACTAGCAACATGAAAGTCGAGGTCCACTACAAGGCGAAGGGTCCCATCATCCTATTTGCTCCAAAGCCTGATTATCCAGTCCGTAAATGTGATTTACCCATCGTTGAGAGGCCGCGAATTTCAGCATGAGATATTTGTGGTGGGGTCTTGCAGAAATGCACTGAAGCTTAGACTGACACACTGCGGCGATGTCTGCTTGACAGGTTGACACAAACGTGAAGAACTCTGGAGCCACCTCGAGTGGAGCTAGCTTCCACTTCCCCCTCATTACATCCCCTGTACCTGTAATATTGGTGGCTTCTCGCGCTGGATCAAGAGATCCAGGCCATTCACGGCTTTGAGCCTTAAGTAGACTCACTTAAAAACTTGGTAGGCGGAATGGCAGGGTTCAACAGAGCCTTGCGCCATGCGATCCATCAAGCTTGGAGCTCACTCCGAGAAGTCTTCAATGACGTGGGCAGCTGAACGGTAGCATTCAACGTTGAAGATATCAGTGTGTGAGTGATGTCTCTTTCCCCGAATCACATCTTCTCCAGACCTCTCTTTTGCCCCTCGTTCGTCCATCACCCCACGTCAAGGTCTCACAATAACACGGCCAGCCGAACGACAAACCAACAGCATGTTTTCCCTTGCGAATCTGTATGTCAGACCGGGACGCCGCATAGTGGGGCGCTCGCGTCATCCCGCTCCGGTGATTCGACCGAACGACGCCCTTGGCTCCGTCCTCGGTCTTGGCCGGACGGATACCGGTGCCTCTCGCGCCCTCTAGGGCCTTGTCGCCAAGTCCGCCGAGCCTTGGGAGACCGGGATAGTCTCGCGTCTCCGCCCCCAGCTCCCACCCGCGATGTCACGACAAACGGCTGATGGAGGATTCGCTAAATCTCTTGTCCTATGTAATTCCAAGACCTTATATCCATTCTCCACTTACTACAGCGCGTCGCGCTTATGAGTGGTCTTTCGTGAACCCCACGAAGCGTGGACTGAAAAGCAAGATTGCGTGCTTGGGATGAACGCCTCCTGGCGGCGGGCGGAAAGTGGAAAGTTCTGCAGTCCAGCCGGGTCGCGTTCAATATTTCTCGAACTCAATAAGTAGACAAGCATCGACGAGCGGTCTGGTACGTACCAAGGCACTGAGAAAGCTTTCTTCCTGTCCTGTCCTTTTCTTCTCCACCTCGGACTATCTTACTCAAGGCGATCTCTTGTCCCTCAGGGTTTCGTCATCCAAAGCCAGTCGCATCTCATACTTTGTTTTGCACTCACATGTTGACGACCAAAACTGCAACCTTGATATCGCACTCTCGCCGAACGAAATCCGGCCTCTTCTGTCGGACCGGACCGGACCTGCGTCTTTCTCGGGCCGCAAGCATCAACACGTGGTGATGGACGTGCTCAAGAAAATCGGGGGCTGGTTTGCTCCTCCGCCGAACAAAGCAGAAGACGGCCGTGATGCGTGGCCCTCAAGGGCCTCCTTTCTTCTAGCATCTATGGGTGGCTGCGCCGGAATGGGCAACCTCCTTCGGTACCCATCCCAGGTGTACAACAATCATGGCTTGCAGTGGTACATCCCATATCTGATGGCCGTTTTCATCGTTGCTATCCCAGTTCTCGTACTCGAGATTGCCATTGGACAGGCCTACCGTGGTGGTAGTGTTGTGGCCTACGCGAATGTCAACCAGAGACTGAAGGGGTTGGGACTATCGTTGATCTACGTTGGCTTTGTTGTCACGCCATACTTCGTCGTCAACTTGGCGTGGATTATGAGCTATTTCCGACATTCCTTCACCAGCCCATTACCATGGACCAACGAGCCCGATTACTTCTTCAACCGAAAGGTCGTTGCCAACGTTGACCCAATCGAGGGCAATCTAACGGCAGATGGCAGCAGCGTTTTGAACTACACCGAGTATCCCGGTACCGCTCTATTGGGGGAGACGACCGGATGGGCGGCCTTCACCTTCTTCCTCATGTATATCTCCATTTTCCGCGGCGTCGGGCTCACTGGCCGCGTCGTGTACTTTACGATGGGCCTGCCTATCGTTGTCACCATTGTGCTGATCGGTAGGTCCGTATCGCTTGAGAATGCGGGTGAGGGTGTGAAGCTCTACTTCGCGACATGGAGAGGCGACCAACTCGCAAGAGGTCAGGTCTGGCAGACAGCTTGTGGTCAGGTACAAACGCCCTTATCTACCCGCTTTATGTTGAACTTCGAGATTCTTCGCGGGGTACTCTTTGAAGATGCATTTCTCAGACGATGAACTGACTGTTATCTAGGTCTTCTTCAGCACCGGAGTGGGTTTCGGTTACTTTACGTCGTATGCTTCATATAATCGACAGTATTCCAACGCAGTCATGGATTCAATCTTGATCGTTTGCAGCAATGTGCTCTTTGAGAACATCGCCGCATTTGCCGTCTTCGGCGTGGTCGGGTACCTCGGCATGCGACCCGACCCAGAGAACCCCATCGGAGGCTTCAGCGTTGGCTTCCTCACCTTACCTCAGGCAGTGGCCGAAATGCCCGGTGCCAATTTCTGGGCTGTAGCATTGTTTTTCACACTCATGGTCCTCGGCTACAGCTCAGCATTCGCCATGTTGGACGCCATCGTCACCCTGGTGATGGACACGGGAATTAAGGCTAGCAGGCCTATAGTTGTCACGACTCTTACGATCATGTCCTTCCTTCTGTGCCTTCCGTACTGCACGGAGTTCGGCTACTACCTCCTGACTGGCATTGACCGGTGGACGAACGATGTTGCATTAGTCTTCGTTGTCTTTGCCGAATGCATTTCATCAACAAGTGTTTACCGTTGCAAAGATGTTATTGGACAAGTCGGCAAGCCAGCTTTTGTCATCTACAACACATGCTACATCCTAGCTATGGTCCTGGGAGTGGCCATCGCCCACGCTGTGCACCCAGGAGCTGGAGCTGGTGTTGGGTTCGGTATCTTCATCGGCGGAAGTATCGCCTCAAGTATCATTGGCAAAATCCCAGACTCCATTCCGCCGAGGTTTTGGGGAAAGAACGCTTTCATCAGCAAGTTTTGGTATCTGGCCTTCTACTCTGTAAGTGTTCGTCTTCCGTTACAAAGAGAATCAGTCTAACATTGTTGGTCAGGGAAACCAACTTCGGAGGGATCTCAACGTAGTCATCGGCAGCGGAAAGAACTGGAATATTCCGACATTCTGGCCCGTATTACTTCGCTACATCTCAGGGCCGATCTTGGCTATCGTCTACGGCTTTTCATACCCATCATTTTATGAACTCCGCTACGATCCATTGCATATCCTAGGCTTTGCTGTCGGCCACGTCGCTTTGATCTTGATTTTGGCCGGCTTCATAGTGCCGCGCTGGTTCAACGTCTTCATCCCAGTGCATCGTCGGAATGAAGGCAAGATGGCTTACGCTCCAAACGTCACCATCGGTGCAGACGAGGCTCAAGCTATCGCTGCTGGGACAATGGAGCAAGGAAACTCGCAGGCTCACTCGCATTCGGACGAGGGTGTTGGCAGAAAGGAGTCGCCTACCAATGACGGCCTCATTACAGAGGAGGAAAAGAAGACCGCCTTATAGAGCAGCTATGTGCCTGAAAGAGTATACAATAAAGCGAAAGGGAGATTGAATTCACGAAGAATTCACGAAGGACGATAAATTACGTTGGATTGCAATTAACATGACATAGAATAATGTATCTCATCACCTTTCTCGGTATTCGCTTGGCAGACGTTGAATCCATTACCGCTGGGTCCATAAGACATTCCGCTCACCGTCATAGATGTATGTTTCGACTAGTGTACGTAGAAGATCAAAGGCCAGTTCACCAAACCAGCTCGAAGCTCAGCGTAATTGAGTCAGGAATCCTGATTCAAAATTCTTTGAACAACTGTCGATCGACGCTCGGGGCATGTCGAAACATCTGAAAAGCCGGACAAGCCGAGGCTTGTTGCAATCTATGCGGAGGGGACACGGTTCGCCGGTGCGGGGCGGACGGCTGATGGACTCCAGCTAGAACCTTGAGAATATCATGATTGAGGTACATATGGATCATCTACAACTAGAGCAACTCCATACAACTCGTTGATTCTTCGGAAACTAGCCAAAAAAAAAAAAAAAACTTCCTTGCCTTATTCCTTCGCTCCAAATTTGATCATGCCTCTCAGGACCAACCTCCCAGGTCATCTCGCATCGCGCGCAAATGACACCGCGCGCATAGCATCGGCGTCTGGATCTGCAGCAGATAGGCGCCATGGGCTTGCTGAGCTCGCTCGGAATGAAGACATCCAGTACATTGTCGGCGACTGGATGTCAGAGTACAACATGACATCAAGGGGTGTTGCAAAGGCGACTGATCCCACAAACTCGTCTGAATTTGAGCCTTCATTTCTCGAAGCGGTCGAGCCTGCGCTGCAATACTTGGATTCCAGGCGGATCAAACTTGCCGTCAATGCTGGCGCAAGCGATACGAAGAAGCTGCATGATGTTCTAGTTCACATGATTAGCGAGAAGGGCTTGAAGCTTAAAGTCGCCTGGATTGAGGGCGACGAGGTGATTGATGTTGTTAAAAAGGGGCTGAAGTCTGGAGAAGGATTTAAGAATCTGACAACGGGTACTTCACGACACAGCCAATCCCCTGGCTTATGGTGCTAGATGCTGACAAGTCTAGGCGAGAATATCAAGGACTGGCCTTACGAACCAATCTACGCTCAGGCATATTTGGGCTGCTGGGGAATAGTTGAAGCATTCAAGCAAGGAGCTCATATCGTGTTGTGCGGCCGTGTAGCTGATGCTTCGCCAACCATTGCATGCGCAGCATACCATCATGGCTGGAAGCGTGATGACTACTCGCAGCTGGCGCACGCACTCGTTGCAGGTCACTTCATCGAATGCACGACTTACGTGACGGGCGGAAACTTTTCTGGGTTCAAGAGCTTGCCTGGTACTTCTGTCGAAATTGGATTTCCGATTGCCAAAGTCGAGGAAACTGGCGAGTTTACCGTCTACAAGCAAGCTCGAACGGGAGGTATGGTGACTCTGGAAACGTGCAAAGCTCAGCTTCTCTACGAGATCCAAGGGCCATACTACTACAACTCAGATGTCGCAGCCATCCTAGACAACATCAAGATGACACAGGTGGGACAGGATCAAGTGTATGTCGCCATCACAATACCCATTGAAAACTCCCACTGACATCGCTACAGTCGAGTCTTCAACGTCGGCAGTATGAAGCCTCCTCCGACTACAAAGGTTGGCATTACAGCCAAAGGCGGATATCAAGCCGAAGCCCATTACTTTCTTTGCGGCCTCGACATCAACGAGAAGGCGACATTGTTTGAGCGTCAGCTTCGTCACGTTCTTGACGTAAAGTCCTTCTCTTGTCTCAAATTCAGCACCAACGGCTCTTGTTCAGAGAACCCCACAAACCAAGATGCAGCAACTGTCGATCTCCGCATCTTTGCACAAGCGCGCGACCAAGCAGCGTTGTCGCCCTTGAAGTTCCTGAAACCAATTGTGGATAACATCATGCAAAGCTACCCCGGTGCAACATTCCACCTAGACACGCGACAAGCAATCCCAAAGGAGTACCATGAGTACTGGGTTAGCATTCTCCCGCAGAGCGCAGCAAAGCACGTGTGCCATTTACCGTGGAAGAGTCAAAAGGTCGACATTGAGCCCCCGCGGGACACAGTGGACTTTTTGTACGACCAACCGACGTACGAGGCCAAAAGCCCGACTGATGTGGCGACCTTGGGGCCAACTACAAGGGCACCGCTTGGGTATGTCGTACATGCGCGGTCAGGCGACAAGGGATCCGACAGCAACGTTGGATTCTTTGTGCGGAATGCCGACGAGTGGGATTGGTTAAGGTCGATGTTGACGGTCGGGAAGATTCGTGATTTGCTAGGAGAGGATGACAAGGGTAAACCGGTTTTCCGTTTCGAGCTCCCACATCTCCATGGTGAGTTATTCTGTCCTTTGTAAAGGTCGATGGTGTCGTGTTTAACTGACTTGGAGATAGCTGTGCACTTCCTATTGAAGGATCACCTGGATAGGGGCGTCTCTGCTAGCTCGTCTTACGATTTCCTTAGCAAGAACTTGGCAGAGTATCTACGATGCAAGCATGTCGACATCCCGGACAGGTTCTTGGCTCGTGGCAGAATCTGAAGGGCGAAATGGAGATATCCTTGTGAGGCAAAGACGCCGGAAGAGGTACACATAGGTACTTTTGCGATCCAAGATGGGTTACACCGAGGATCTGCGGCGTCAGCGGTGGAATTTCGGGCTAACCTTTGACCGTAGTATGACGAGCCTCACGATGGTGTGGCTGGGTGACGACTTGGTACACCACAGAAGGAAGAGTTGTGGTAAAGCGAATCATGCAATGGGAGAAAAGAGCCGAGCTCTTTGGTTCTTCTGTGGCTTATTACCCCGCCAAAAGCCTGACGACATAGCGTTGGCTGCCGCTTATCCTTTTCGCCGTTTGATGGCTGGGGTCGAGTTAGCTTGCAAAGCTTCTTGTCTCAGACATATTCACCGGTACACTGAACCCGGCCCTTTAGATCAAACGAGACTTTGATTGTCCCTTCTGGAATTCAGAGAGTCTTGCGCAGGAACACAATAAGAGTCACGTTCTTCGGATGTTGGTTGGTTTAGATAACGAAGGTCAGCGGCGCAACACTGTCTTCCCTGTCGTGGCAAAGCCGACGTACGCGCCATGGTAATAAAGTTGCCATAATACCGGTTTTACCTTGATCCGTTTGCTCATCATGTTTTAGTGCTAGGTATTGACTAACGGAACATTGAGCGTACATAGTAGGTTGAAAGCCCACGTGGCACAGTCTGACGGTCGACACAGCTCGCCAGATCCCAAACCCTAGCATTCGGAAACGGCTTGGGGTGACGCGATGATGATAGAGTGGCGGACCAGAAAAAACAGGGCTGAGGCCCAAGGGCACACTCTTTCTCATGATTGCCAAACAAATCACCGTCCGGGATTCGCAACCGGATGCGTGGTCCACCATGCCGGAATAGGCAGTTCTTGATGCCGGTCAGTCATCCTTAGGGGGCCTTTGGGGGCGGAATCCCCATCCCAACCCAACCGCCGGACCACTCACTCCATGAATCCACGTCTCCGGAGCGGCTGCTCCACTTCGCGCCGGGAGCTCGGGGGGTCTAAAAGATGTCCCACTGATCTCCTTTGCTTCTCGGGATGCTGCAGCCTGTAAGCTTGCAAAGCCACCACGGATACCAAGGTGCTTTGACAGGACCCCTCCCTTGCTGTGCCACTGTTCCTGGAGTGAGTGAGAGTGAGCGAGGGAAAGAGTGATAGCTTATCGGAGACTACTTGACAAGCTTGGGCAGACATGGCGGTGTCTGTCAGGTATCACAATAGGATCAGCCCCTGGTGAGACGCCACAGCCATGAGTCTCCGAAACGTCATTTGTGGGTTTGCTTACTTACTTTAGGCATGGGACTCCCGCTCTGTGGTCAGATTGATGATCTTATTCAAAACCATCTCTACCAAAGTTCGCGGGAAAATTCACCTTTTTCCGGTTGCCGTCCATCAGCACCTCAAATCCAACGAGTATCACCGTTCTATTTCGCCAGCTTCTCTTTCATGCTTCGAAGTAATCGGCCTCAGCACTATTCACCTCAATATCCGACCACGAAACATCAATATCATGACGAGACTCAGCGACGCGATCAAGGATGACCATCGGAAGATCGAGCAGGCATATCGATATATCCTCACATCAACCACTCTAGAAGACAAAGTCCGATGGAGGAATGAGCTCAGCCTCGAACTGGCAAGGCATTGCATCAGCGAGGAACAAGTCCTCCTTCCAATCCTCACAGATCGACTGGCCGATGGCGAGTCTCGTAGCGCCAGGAATCACACGGACCGCGAAAGCGTAAGTTTAGCGTTGCCGCCCACCCATAGTCACATCGGGAAATTGATCGGTCGCTTTAGTTGAAGGAAAAGATTTGCCGCCTCCAAGCGATTCCAGTCGACGATGACAGCTTCGAAACCGAGTTAAGGGCTCTCTGGGTAGACCTGGCAGCCCACGTCCGCGATACCGACAACCAGGACGTGGCCCGGTTGGAAGAGTGCCTCACCATGACCGAGTCTGAGGAGCTTGCGAGGCAATTTCGGCTCACGATGTCCATGGCTCCGACGCGGAGTAACCCCTCGCCTGATCGCGGTCCGCCGTCTCAGCAGATCACAGACTTCCTCGCCACCAAAACTGGGCCTTGAATGCGCATGGCCCGATTTTGCGGGGTTGGTGAGGAGGGAATTCTGGGGAAGCATGGGTGAGACGTCCGATGATATACGGCATTATGACGGAGCAAGACCCTAGTGGTCACAGTAAATATTAATCATTATGGGTTTCTCTCAGTATGCTGGTTGCACCCAAGATACCGGCCTGGATTTCAATACTCTGACTACATCTCTTTTCTGACCTTGCATGTACTGTAACAAAACACATGATAAGCCTGGAGCCGACCGACCCGGAGCCGAGCAACTCCGGGTGGGCCCGATCGGTGTCGACCACGGCGAGTTTGCCCCGGTATCTCTTTGTCACTTTCACGTCATAAGACCACGACTCGCAGCACTTGCAGCACACCAGGATCACATCCATCTGTCTTCCAAATTTTCGCAGTTCATCTTTTCCTACGTAATCTTGTTGCGCAGGTACCCTCAGCTTGCGGAGCCAGTGAAGGTAATAGTGACTGCGGCATCGGAAACAGCCGGAGTCAACTCCGTTAGAAACCAAAACTGCCGATGCATGACATGTGCCATAACTCTCTTCGTTCATACTTGGTCGTTCAATCATGCTTTGGCAATGCGCGCCAAAGCCAAACCTCCATTTACTTGTAGCCCAAAGCTACCAAAAACCTGATTTAGCTCACAGTTCCAGACAGTGAACGCGTGTAAGTTCATTACATGTGAGAGCATTTGCTCCACTTTACCATCACAAGGTGGTTTGAACCTTAGTCAAAGATGCACTTTCTTAGAACCTGATTGGAAACACTGTTACCCATCCGGCCGTGAGCTTACATCACAATTTCCCAATATGCAGTCCTGAGAGGCAAAGTCCCTATTCCCCACAAGACTTTCTGTGGTCGGCGAGATAAGCGGAGGTCTAGTGCCCTTGGCCTCTGAGTTGTCGATTCCTGTCATGTTATTTAAGCTGGCTCCCCATGATACGGCCATGAAAGCCTATGGAGCTCTCATCTACGAACTTCTGAAGCCCCCGAGATTTCAACTCATCAGTCAACATTCAATATGTCGTACAAAGATTACGATGTACGGGACCAATACTCAACCCGCCGGCGGCACCACTCACCAGCCTACTCCGACTTGAGCGTCGGAAGTCCAGGGTACAGCCCGACAAGGGATGCCGGCGCTGCCCACGTCGCACACCAGCACTACGAGCCTCCCGATCGCAGAGGCCGCGTCGAAGTCTACGAAGAAGATAGATACAAACCAAGAATCAGAGACTACCACTACGAAGAGAGGCGTCCGCGATCGCGACCAAGATCCGAGGTCTACGACTCCGACCGCAGCCATCGTAGCCACAGGCATGGCCACCATCGCCACCACAGCCACACACACAGCAGAAGCAAACGGAGGCATTCCACCTCCGGGCCCAATTGGGGTCAGGCCGCTGTTGCAGCTGCTAGTGCCGGTATCATTGAGGCGGGTCTGGCGCGGCATGACAGGGACCGAACGGCAAGAGTCATGACGGCGGCGGCGGGAGCCGGGGCGATTGACGCCGTCGCTGGGAAGCATGGAGAGAAGCCGTCTAGGACTTGGGAGAATGTTGTCGGAAGCACTGTTGGCGGCTTGGTAGTTGATCGTGTGGCTCATGGATCGGGACGCCGGCATTGACGAGTTCACGGCGAGGGGCGCCCGGGTTCGGCGAGACACAGCGCTTGCGTCGAGCCATGGAATTTCTTTAGCAAACACTCACGTAAAACCAGAGATATGCAACACTTGTTCAAGTTCTTCCCAGAACGTATCGAGTTAACCAGTTCATCTACGGCAACTGTTCTTGACCCTAGTCTTCGGAAACAGTCCCGAATTCCCAGCTCACGATCTCCGGAGTCCGCAACCGGCCGCCATCCGATCCATGTCGGTCAGACCAACAAGAGGTCCTCCCATCTGATTCCTGCCGGTGGGTGTCGGTGCCATTGGCTAGGACACCACTTACTTGAGACTAAGGGCGGCTCGATACAACACTATCGCCAAGCGATTCGCGGAGGATAAATGAGCTTAATCTAAATGCCGGATGAACTGGCCCCGCCAAGCTAGCATTGGCACCTTTATTCCATTATTAGTCTCACTTAGCGATGCAATCCGTTCTTGCCACCACCTCATGACCTTCCGCTCGTGGGATGCCGGAAGGGGTCGCCCCGTGGTCGCCGGCCTGGAACGTCGTCGCGGTTGAGGGAGTCGTCAAGTCCGTTATGGACCATGTTCACGGCAGATTCGATATAAAATGATGAATGACCTCCCTTTCTCATGACCTGCGCCGTGCGCATTTGTATACTTGATGCTAAAGGGAAAGCAATAACTTGACAACATGAAGCTTCTCGGTCTTCTCGCTGCTGCCGGCCTCTGCCAGGCCCACACCATCTTCGTCTCCCTCGAGGCCGATGGCGTCAACAGCGGCGTTTCTCAAGGCATCCGTACCCCGGAGTACGACGGTCCTCAGACCGACGTCACGTCCCAGTACATCGCCTGCAACGGTGATCCGAACCCGACGAAGTCAACCGACAAAGTCATCACCGTGACAGCCGGGTCAACAGTGACAGCCGTCTGGCGCCACACCCTGACCAGCGGGCCCGAGGACGTCATGGACGCCAGCCACAAGGGACCAACTCTTGCCTACATGAAGAAGGTCACCGACGCCAAGACCGACCCCGGTACTGGCGCGGGATGGTTCAAGATCCAGGAGGACGGGCTGAGCAGTGGTGTCTGGGGAACGGAGCGCGTCATTGGTAATGCTGGGAAGCAGGCTATTACTATTCCCAAGTGTATTGCCAACGGACAGTACCTTCTCAGAGCTGAGATGATTGCCTTGCACGGCGCCAGCTCTTACCCGGGTGCACAACTGTACATGGAGTGTGCTCAGATTAATGTCGTTGGCGGGACCGCGGCCAAGAGCCCGTCAACTGTCAGCTTTCCTGGTGCTTACAAGGTCTGTTGTTGAATCGTTACCATCAAGCCACATGAGATGCACTGTTTACTGACTATCGTCTCAGGGATCCGATCCCGGCATCACAATCAACATCTACTACCCCGTCGTCACGAACTATACGATTCCAGGACCCGCGAAGTTCGCTTGCTAAATCTTAACGTGTGCTTTCACCGGTTTTGATGCATCAGTATCATCAGTCATCAGTATCATTAGTGGTACGGATGAACTCTTTGATGGCTGGAGACGGAGATTAACTTCATGTACATATTACCTGAGGAATCAAACTTGCATACACTGTGAAATTTCGATAGCTCTCCCAGACCTATGTTCCATTGCTTCAGAGCCTCTTGTATCATAGCTGGGTAATCGGCGCCAAAGCCTTCCGTTTATGGAATTCCGTAATGAAGAGCTTGCAGTCGAACTAAGAGTCTTTCTCCTCCCCTAACACCACGCATAATGCTCATTGTTAATCAAAATCGGAGCGTCCTCTGCTCCCAAATCCTCGCCATCCTCGAACCATAGTAGACTAGCAATGCTATGACTCTGCCTCTCAACGTAAACAGCATCTAGGTCGCTTTGGTCCAAAAGGCTCTTTACCATGGGAGATGGATCCCATAGTTGTACCTGGTCTAGCCTCCAATCTGCCGCCTCTGCTTGAGCAGCCTGCATCACAGCCTTCAACGCAGCAGCTTGCTCTGCATAATCTTTCATCGATATCGTGATGTTTGCTTCGCGTGGCTTGTTCGCAGTCTCATCCCCTTCTACCACAAGGCGTAGAATATAAAGAACATTCTTATCATCTGCACTCTCAATGCTATGGGGGTCTGGGTGCCTGTAGTAACGACGAACCCAAGTAGCCCAGACCTGCTTCCCAGCCACTCCAGTGATTACTCCCTTTATCACTGCCTTTTTACTAAAGATCTGCTTGGTAGCAAAGTCTTCTTTGCGAATGTGCCATAACATATGATTCAAGTCTGGTAGAATAACCACCCGCTTGCGTGACGGACTCGGTGTGGCCATGTCATTTTGTATCATAGCTCTGTCCCTGAGGCATAGGCTCTCCAGATCCGATTCGAAGATTGGCCGTGAAGTCGCAGGTTTCTCCATCTTTGCAGGCGGCAACACCAGGTGCCCGTTGATTGGGTTTGGTGTCCATCCCATCTTGGTATAAAACTCCTTTCCTATGTCTGAGTACAGGACGCTTCCAATGATCCTTCCGTTCTCGGACTGCCAACCGCGCAGAACCATCGCTAACTCCTTCATGTGACGAGCTGCGAAGCCGCGGCCGCGAAACCTTTCTGGACAGAAGACGCTGGCGACCCCATGAACGATTCTCTCCGTCGTGTTCCCCATGCTATCGCTCACGAGACAGCGTTTGCGAAAGGTTTCACATGAGCAGAAGATACTCCGCTCATTTGGCGGCGAAGTTTTGTCAACGAGAACCCAGGTCGCCATGCCTCCGTCTCTCGCAAGTGGGACTGTGGTGAGGTACGCGGACTCGAGCATGTACAAGGGCTGAGTCAAAGAATCTTTCCATTCATCAGCCGTAATTGTCCATATCTGGATGCATTCTTCGGGTGTAGGATGGTCGAGGTGAAGATCTGGAGAGGAGCAGCTAGCGATTGCGACTTTAGACTTCGCCCGTGTACTTGATAAGGAAGCCATTGTTTGTCTCAAGAAACCATGTGGCTGATTGAAGTTCAATTTGAGGTGATTTGAAGTCATCGGAAGCCTAGAGTTATTCCAGAAGTTTAAACTGAAGTTGCGCTAACAAGACAGCCGCTAAAGCCCTGAGCAATTTTATGACCCCCCTGCATATTGCACACTTTGTTGAGCGGGGTACCCCTAAAGTTGCTGTTGATACCTGGATTCGTGATCAAGACAATCCGTGCTTTCATCAGCGATAGCAGTGATGGAAAGTTCGCTGGCGTCTCACTTGACGTTAATAAGATAGCTTGAGGTTTTAAATCTTCAAAATTTACCAGTCTATTTACAGGCAATGAGTTCTAAACTGAATCTACAGATGAATTGAATCGAGCTTTTCATACACAACATCCCCGCGCTCAGTGGCGGTGGGGAGCTCTTCCAAGACGCATGGGTCTGCTGCGAGCGTGCCTTCTGGCATGCGCAGCAGCCGGGGCCGCGGTGGAGTTGGAAACAGGGCACGAGGTGTACATGACACCGCGGCCGTTGGTACCAACATAGACAACGTTGGCCTCGTTGGCGGAACCAACTAGAGCAGCGCCGTCGAGAGCGCCAAAGCTGTAGGTGCCCTGGAGGTCAACCCACGAAGCACCGAGATCGGCGCTGGCGTAGAGCTTCTTGCCGTCGGCGGCCTCGCCAAAGACGTACAGGTTCCAGGCACTGCCTTCGCCCTTGCCGACGGAGACGGCGTGGGCGTTGGAAGGGCCAGAGATGGAGGTGAAGGTCTTGCCAAAGTCGGTGCTGTGGAAGACGCCCGAGTTGGTGGAGACGAACAGCTCGCCGGCTGTGGCGGGGTGAGCGGCAATGAAGCGGATTTCGGTGACGTTGCCCAGGGGAGACTCTGTGAAGGTGGCTGCACCGTCGGTAGAGACGTAAAAAGTGGCCTTGGAACCGGCGTAGAAGACGTCGTTCTTCTTCTTGTCGCTGGCGATGACGCTGCTCGCGGGGAGGGTGCTGTTCTCGGGCTTGCCTGCGTTGCGGATGACCTGGACGCCCTCGCTCTTGGAGGACCAGAGAATGACATCGCCGTCGGCAGAGTAGGCAACGGAGCCGTCGGTGATGGTGTTGCCGGTGGAGTTCACAACGGACCAGGTCTCACCGCCGTCGTTGCTGAGGGCAAGCTGAGGAGAGTCGGTGGCCTTACCGATGCGAGCAACCTTGTTGGGGCTGTTGCCGGCAAAGTCAACGTCGACACTGCTGGCCCACCAAGGGTTCGTCCAGGCGGATTGAGGGGCCTTATCGACATCAGCGGCCGTCTTGTAGGTGAAGCCGTTGTTGTCAAGAGTCGCGAAGAAGAGCTCAGGGCCCTCGGCGGCACTAGCCAAGGCACCGACTGCCATCTCCTCGATACCGGAAGCAAGACTCTGGATGGTGATGGTCTTGTTCTTGTCCCAGTTGGTCAGGTCGTTGCTACCGTACAGGGTAAGGCCGGTGCCGTAGAAGAACTTGTCGCTATTGGTGGGGTCAATTGAGAGGGACTCAATCATCCAGCCGAGCTTCTTGGTGTCGATGTCGAGGAAGTTCGTCTCGATCCAGGGAGCGTTGGGGGCGCTGATGGTGTACTGCGGCGCAACCTTGCCATCGGCACCGTAGCTCCAGATTCTCTTCCAGGTCGCGCCGGAGTCAGTGGAACGGAAGAGGATGGCATCGGGATACCAGCTGTTCAGGGTGGCGACAACGATCGTTCCAGGCTTCTGCATATCGACACCGAGTCCACCAAAGCCGTAGTAGAGATCGCTACCAGTGGTGGGGGTGATATCGGTCCACTTGCTCGAAGTCAGGTCGTACTTCCAGACACCGCCCTGGGTGCCATCGTAGGGGCCGGTTCCATCGGAGTAGGTGAAGTAAATGACCTTCTCGGCGGGTTGGAGCACAGCCTTGTGGGGGAAGAACTTCTTGGGCTGGCCATCGACAGGGCCCCAGGTGGCACCGGCGTCAGTGCTCACGTAGACGGATGCAGTGGTGTTGTCGGCGGTTCCAACAAAGATTCTCGAGGTCGCACCGTTGACGACGTCGGAGGTCTCGTCGAAGGTGACGAAGGTCAGACCTTGAAGGTCACCGTTGTAGGCATCGCTCGCTGCGCCAGGGCGGAAAGTACCGACGGCCTCGAAAGTAGAGACCTTGGAGAAAGTCGCACCTAATCAATTATACTCTGTCAGAAAACCGAATTGAGGGGCGATCGTGGATGGAATTCTTCTGCTCACCAGCGTCTGTGCTCTTCCACAAACCGTTGCCGCTGCGGGCACCAAAGAAGATAATCTCCGAGTTCTTGGGGTCGACAGCCAACCGCTCACCGGTTCCGCGACCGGGCATGTTGCCGCCGACCTTGAAGGGAAGAGTGGTGGTCTCCCAGGTCTCTCCCTTGTCGGAGCTGCGCGCGAAAGTTCCATTCTTGGGGTCCCTGCTATAGTTTAGCTTCGATGCGGGATGTCAAGTTGAGCTGCAGAGCAGTGCTTACCAGTCGTTGGTGTACATGCCAGTAGCAATGTAGACCTTGTTCGCATCCTGGGCGTCAACCGCGAGAGCGTCGATGCCCCATCGGTTCCAGTTGGCGTCATCAGCAAATCCGTTGGCGTCGGTGATGGGGGTCCATGAGTCGTCGGCGTTCAGTCTGTAAAGACCTCCAATGTCGGTGCGAGCGTATGCGACTCCCTTCTCGGTCGGGTGGAAGACGATGGACGGCACGAAGCCGCCACCGCCTCCGGTGTGGACGTTCTTCCACGAGCAAGCGGCGCGGACGGACGCCGCGGCCGCCAAAATAAGACCGGCGCTTCTCATGATTGGATGTTGAAGGCTAGGTCACTCGAAACTTGAAAGAATGGTGAATCGTAGATGGACCAGCCAAGTGAAATGAATGTTTGGTACTGTTAGAAAAAGAGTGAATGTCGCGAAAGCGAACGTGGTGAGAAAAAGAGAGTAACTGAACCAGAAGATAGACAGACAAGAAAGTCATACGAAATTGCTCCATAGGGGACTGTCAACTATTTACATCACTACCAGTTCACCCCCTCGGCTCGGCCAGGACGACCATACTTGGTTAGTAAACAGGATACATGAGCCGAATAGGCGCGAACTTCCTTCTTCGCGATGCACTACCAGGGGAAGAGCTTCTGGAATAGATTGAAGGCATCCCCACGAAAGTTTAAACCCAAGAAAGTTGTGGGCAGAATGCCGAAACCGAGTGATTAACGCGGCCCGCCCGATTCACCCAGCAATCAGAAGCATCCGGTTACAGCAAGACGACATGGTTGTTGGCTCCATCAGCAACCCAATAATCCACCAGTGACTGCTCGGTTTGGCGAAGAATGAGGTAAAGTGAGGCAATTAGCTTATACCACGTGAGGCCTTGCCATCCCGGAAGTTGAAGATGGTCGAAAATCTTAGCCAATTACGCTGTATTTGCGCTGTGCTAGTGTGTCAAGTTGAGCTGGAGCTCCTTGGGACCTTTGATTAAGGGGTCAATGGGACGAACCAACTCGTCGGTTTTCAGATATTAGCGAGCTATATCCCTGTCCCTTCAGAGGCTGAGCTCAACCTGACGAACTTATGTAAGCGGGTTTTCAGTGTTTTTACGACCGAAAGAAGAGTCAGTTGCCCTTCGCGGCTCAATGTGGTAGTTGTCTAATTGATTATCGGACACTTATTCAAAACTTGGGCAGACTTTCTACAAGATTCTAGTTTACATGCCAACTCAAGAGTGAGGGGCCTTTGCGAGGGCAAAGGTAAGGTTCTGGAGTCGAGTCAATCTGACGTCTGTCGTAGAACTTACTTTACCTAGTTCAATCGCAAAAGTGGAACATTCTCCCTTTCCAATCATAACTTCCAGCAGTCTTACTAGACTAAGTACATGCAATAAAGGTAGAAAATCAGGACCCCATCGCTTGATGATTCGGATCATTTATCGGACAAGACTTACAACAAATAAACTCTCGCGATCGATGCGGCGAAAAAATCTCAAACCTCTACGACTCTACGTGCTTGAGTCAATAGCGCAGGAGACCCACAGGTCGTTCGCCCCAGCGGACAAAGCCTTCAGTACTCTGGAGCGACCTGGCCTTGCATCAATGGCTTAAATCGTGGTAAACAGCCTATATGGAAAACTTCCATCTCTCCTCTACGGACCAAAAGTTTCATCAGATCCGAGCATTCACAGGTAGTCGGACAGCTTTTTTACCAGTCAACCGTGCCTGAAGTGAATGAATTGAGACGAATTTACTTATGTACGTGCTCATTCCTGCCTCTATGCATTTTGAACCCGTGGAAGGGTATGTATGTTGTTGTTTGACGTTCCATACAAAATAAATTGGCTGATTGGCTATCTTTCACGAGCTTGCTTGAATTCAGCAATGCAAGCATAAAGCAATGTCAGCGTTGATCTTATGGCTTCATTCATTCATGTTGTTAGCAAGGCAACGCCTTGTGGACGCTGACCAGTGTATGCGTCTGGTGTGACACGGTGATCATGGCTAGAGCAGCATTGGTGTAAAAATCCAGAAAGGTCATGTCTCCATGATTCATGGGCCAAAATTCCTGTCACTCCCTTCCCATGTTACTAGCTCACATGCGTGAGTTCCTGTTTTTTTTCCTTATCCGAGAATTTTCGCAATTGACCATTCAGGCATCGTCTTGACGTTGAACGAGATCGACGCTAACATGATTATTTGAGACTTTGGTCCACCTACACATCTAGCAACTCGACTTCACAGGCTTGGCGGATCGTGAAACAATCCAGCTTGCTGTCTCTGCTTAATTGAGTCCAGGTAGGCGGTTCTCGGTCTGCAGCTTAGTGGCCTACCTAAACTAACAATGGATCGTTGACATCATGTTCCGCCCAGAACTGGGCTAAATTCGCAAGACTTTGTCGGCAACAGCCGCCAAAATACCAGATTGAGCCTACAGGTCGTCCTGAAGTCTGTCGTTCGATCTATCGCCTGCGTCTAGGCTGTTAAGGTTCGGACGAGCGACCCTCTGAACCTCGCCCGGCTCTCCCCTGAGCAAGCAGTCAAAAGTCAAATTCTGACTAGCGTCATGGTTACATCCCCGCAAGCTCCCGTTGCCCACGTTTCCGTCCCTGGAGATCTTGGAAAAATATGTCCCTGAACCAATCTTCATTGTTCACGAAATACTGAGAAAGGGTCCAAGCAGTAAGCCGCTGTCTGACCAGAGGACCCTAAGAACGGTGGTCATCGGTGTAAGCCCCAGTTTCTGCGGTGGTGCAGTCTGTTCACGCGCTAATGCAAACAAACTTAGCCAGGAACGCAATAGACTATGTCTAGCGTGGACAAAATGAGCGTGATCTTCTAGCGCCCGCCTCCAGTCTAGCCGAATATGCACTTCAGCTCTCGTAAACACTCGCGACAGGATCTATTCCGGGCAAAGCTCACAGCGTCCGGTGGGATGGGGATCGAATGGAGGAAACATGTCATACGATATAAGTGTCTTGTCAATCCTTTTCACTTCCAGATATTGTCTATAAACCTCCAAGTCTCACGGGTCGACAGATCACTCTCTTTTTCATCTAATTTTTCCTATACTCTCCTTTCAAAATGCGTGTCACTTACGCCGTTTCTACGTTCATTACCATATTGGGCTTGACCCATGCCGCCCCGGCTGACGAGGAGGCACGATTGCACGCCGAGCACAAACGCCAGCTCGGCACCAGCGCAGGCAGTCTTGGAAAGGATGCGACTTTCGACTATGTCATCGTCGGCGGTGGCACTGCCGGTCTTGTGATGGCCAACAGACTGAGCGCCAACCCGGATGTTACCGTAGCTGTGATTGAGGCCGGCACGTTCTACGAGATCACCAACCTTCTCATCGGCCAGACACCCGCCGGCGATACTCTTTTCGCTGGCGCTAGTCCTCTTGACACGAACCCTCTCGTGGACTGGAACTTCATCACGCAGCCACAAACCGGTGCCAACAACCGCAAGATTCACTATGCTCGTGGCAAGTGTCTCGGTGGAAGGTGAGTTCCAAAGTCGTGAAGTTACATTTAATTTGGCAAATAGTCTAACGCAATATCAGTTCCGCTCGCAACTTCATGATCTACCAGCGCGGTACCAAGCAGTCCTACCAGAAGTGGGCAGATGCCATCGGCGATGATAGCTACACCTGGGACTCCCTTCTTCCGTACTTCAAGAAGAGTGTCAAGTTTACCCCGCCCGGCCCTACTCGCTTCCCCAACGCCAGCGCAGAGTACAACCTTGACGCTTTCGATGCTGCCGGAGGCCCTCTTGACGTCTCCTACGCCAACTACGCTCAACCTTTCAGCACGTACCTCGAGCCCTCCCTCAATGAGATCGGCATTCCCCAGGCCCAGGACTTCAACAGTGGTGAGCTTATGGGTGCGCAGTACTGCTCCGATACTATCCAGCCTAGCAAGCAGCAGCGCGAGTCCAGTCAGACCTCGTTCCTCAACGAAGCCATTGGCCGCAAGAACCTCAAGGTTTACCAGCTGTCTCTGGCCAAGAAGATTCTCTTTGACAGCAACAAGAAGGCGACTGGTGTTGTTCTTACTTCCAATGCTGGCATCACCACCTACACCCTCAAGGCCAACAAGGAGGTCATCCTGTCCGCCGGTGCCTTCCAGAGCCCCCAGCTTCTCATGGTCTCCGGTGTTGGCCCTAAGGACCAGCTCAACAAGTTCAAGATCCCCATCGTCGCTGAGCGCCCTGGTGTCGGCCAAAACATGGAGGACCACGTCTTTTTCGGTCCCACGTGGCGCGTCAAGGTCCAGACTCTGACCCGTCTGGCCAACGACCTCATCTACACTGCTGCCCAGTTCGCCTTCGACTACTCCATCCGCAAGATCGGCCCCCTCACCAACCCCGTCTGTGACTTCCTCGGCTGGGAGAAGACCCCTCGCGACCTCATCTCCTCTGATACTGCTGCCATCCTCGACAGCAACTTCCCTGCTGACTGGCCCGAGATCGAGTATCTCACCGCCCCTGGCTACGTCGGTGACTTCTCCAACCTTCTCCTCACCCAGCCCAAGGACGGCTATCAGTACGCCACCATTCTCGGAGGTCTCGTTGCTCCCATGTCCAAGGGCACCGTCACCCTCGCCTCCGCCGATACCAAGGACCTGCCTCTCATCGACCCCAAGTGGCTCACCGACCCAACTGACGTTGCTGTCGCCGTTGCCACCTTCAAGCGCCTCCGTCAGGCCTTTGCTAGCAATGCCATGAAGCCCGTCTTGGCCGACAACAAGGAGTACTTCCCCGGTCCCAAGGTCGAGACTGATGCCCAGATCCTCCAGAACATTCGCAACACTGTCATGACCATTTGGCACGCCAGCTGCACGTGCCGTATGGGCAAGTCTGACGACCCCATGGCTGTCGTCGACAAGGATGCCAAGGTCATCGGTGTCAGTGGCCTGAGAGTTGTCGATGCTAGCAGCTTTGCGCTTTTGCCCCCTGGCCACCCCCAGAGCACTGTTTATGTCTTGGCCGAGAAGATCTCTGCCCAGATTTTGACCGGTTACTAAAAAATACTGAGTTGGTATTTGTCCTAAAGAGTCGAGGGACTTGCATATAGATAAGATTATGTCTTTTGAGAGGAGCGATACATACCACAAGTGTCACTGAACACTCTAATGTAATTAATGTCTGTAATTATATTGAATTCATGACGAAAACCTTTCACGTTGTATAACAAACTCTATAGGCGTTATGGAGGGACTGTTGTCAATTGCATACCCATATCGTCGCTCCGACTTACCTCAAACCCTACGACGAGGAACTGAGTGGAACGGAGTGGAACGGCTAACTCCAGCCGTGGGATTGACCCCCTGCCCTAAAGAGTGGTGGATTTCGGGCATAGTTGCCGAGTCGAAACCCACTGGCGTGATCGCCTCATCCGATCAACTGACAGATGTGGACTCAGATTGTCATTTTTGTGGGTTGATCTCGGCAAACCTGTACAGTGTAACCGTTCAGTCAGTGACCGAATGCGCCATGCCGAAGATCTTAATTACCAATAATTGATAGAAGGCCTATTGTATCTATGCTTAGTCTCTTCCTCCTTCAAAGCCAATCAACTACCTCGAGTAGTTAAGCCATAACACAAACTGCAACCACCTTCAACTCAGGTCAAGAAACCTGAGGTATCACTACTTGCCTGCTCCAATATGCCTGTCAGCAACAATCAAGCAGGCTAGGACGGGCTCAGGCTTGGGTTCGCCGCAACGCATGTAGAACCTCAGTTGGAGAACACCACTTCCTGACTAGACCCTGTCATCTTGTTGGACAAGGTGCATCTGGTCTCCCCATTGGCAACACCCAACGAATGGCTCTCGGCGAACTTGCTGCACATGGAATCTATGTTCTACGCTAAGCCGGGATCACTTCCATGTTCTGCATCTCATGCCTCCATATCCCGTTCTCCCAACAGCAGCACCTCCGAATGTCCGATGCGTTGATGCGGCGTAGCAAACCGGTACTTATGTCCTACTTAAGAACTCGTCTACGAACGCGAATATCTACCTTGGACTCTTTCGTTGCCCTCATCGTCTTAGTTAGCATTACCAGCTCACCAGTGGCGATTGGTAAAGGCACTGCATCTTATTTATTATCCGCTACCACCAATACTACTGGTACCAAGGGTCAAGATGTCATCGCTCATCGGAGTCGCTCTTGGCGCTCTGTCATTGGTGTCAGCAGCAATCATACCCACGGGTAACAAGACAACTATCATCGAGAGAGATGTTGTGATTCTAGGCGGAGGTGCTTCTGGAGCTCACGCAGCCGTAAGACTCCGCGAAGACTATAACAAGACAATTGTCGTCGTGGAAAAACAGAACCGCATTGTAAGTGAAAATCAACTGGATCTGGAAAGAGTGAAGAGCCTAATGCCCACTCAGGGCGGTCACGTCGCAACCTTCACAGACCCCGAAACTGGAAACCCATATGACTTTGGTGTAAACTCATATACGGATTACGGCGGCGCCCGCGATTTCTTCGCCCGCTTCAATATCCCTGTGCAGACTCCAGTCAGACAGGTATTGACGACCACGTATGCCGACTTCAGCACAGGAAAGACAACCAACTACTCCTTACCGGCTTCCGCGGACGCTACAGCTGCCCTGAAGGCTTATCTCGAGCAGTGTGAGAAGTACGAATCGTACATTCTTCCCTCCTATGCAAACTTCCCAAACACAACCGTTGGTGTTCCTGAAGACCTCACCCTCAAGTTCTCCGACTTCGTCAAGAAGCACAACCTTCAGGCGGCTGTTCCCCGCATCTTCCAGACCACCGGTCTTGGTCTGGGCAATATCGCCGACCAGACAACTTTGTACGTCATGCAGAGCTTCGGCGCACCCATCACTCGGTCATTCCTGGGCACGGTTGGTTCCTTCGTGCCTGTATCCAGGCGAAACCAAGACATTTACGATGCCATTGCAGACCTCCTCGGCGACGATGTCCTCTACTCGTCCACAGCTATCAAGACCTCCCGTACCGAGGATGGCGTGGAGGTTCTTGTTCGTGGCCCCGACAACAAGCAGACACTGATCAGGGCCAAGAAGCTTCTTGTCTCTTTTGAGCCTACAATTGCCAATTTTGACGGCATAGATATCAGCGACGAGGAGGCGGCTGTCTTCTCGAAGTGGGAATGGACTACCGTCCACGCCGGCATCGTTTCCCACCCTTCCTTACCCATCAGCTACTCCCTCACTAACAACGTTCCCACAAACTGGATCTCCCTTCCTAAGACTCCCTTCGTCGGGCGCTTCGATTACCTTGGCGACAACAACTTCCGCGTGCTGATCACCGGCTCCTTCAATTACGCTAGCACTCAGGCACAAGCTCTAGTCAGAACGTCCCTCAAGTTGCTAGCTGACGCTGGTACGATCCCGAGCCTCGGTACCGAGCAGCTCAATGTGAAAGCCTGGGCTAACCACGGTGCCGTGAGCCTGCGTGTGCCTGGCGCTGAGCTGGCAGCTGGACATATTACTGAGCAATACGCTCTTCAGGGTCGTAGAAGCACATACTACACGGGAGCTGCATGGTCTGCGCAGTTCACCACCATCTTGTGGGAGTACAACAACCAGTATCTCCTACCAAAGCTGCTGGCAGAGTTTTGAAAGGTCATGATGTCGCTTTGAAGGCTGTTGATGAGGAACATGCAGCTACCTTAGACCAGAAAATGATGGATAATATCATTATCAAGAAGGGCCAAGGTCGAAGTGACAACGCTTAAGTAGTTATTCCATCTCGCTATCCAGAAAGTCAACATAGAACAAGCAGTGCAAACTTCAGAGCTGGGTGGCAACAGAGTCTCTCCGGTGCTGCAGATGTCCATGATCTCGTCACAGCAACAGAGTGAACTCAATAACGAACCGGTGGGAGTGTTTGCACGCCTCAAACTGAACCGCGGAGTCCGCTAATCTGGCAAGCCTGCAATGCCCGGAATCTCGCCACTTTCTACAGCTCACCTGCCATCTGATGTGGAATCTGCTAAATTTCTTGGGTCGGAGACGTGCTTCAACGGGATCGCATCCCGGGAATCCCTGAAGTGACTGCAAGGAACGAGCCCCAGCTGCAGTGCATCGGGCTGGGGCCTCACTCCACCCGCTCACAAGGGCCCCTGTTCCAGGATCTTGTCAACAAAAGCGCCATTTTCGGCCGAAGAATAACAGGATATCATCCCATCGAAACGCGATCGCAAGAATGGCTCCATGGTACGAGCTTTTGTTTCATCCGTCGGACCGCACTCGGACATTGTCAGGTCATGAGTGTGTATGTTAGACTTCAAGGCTGGCCTGGAAACAATCACAAGTGAAGTGCCTTTGGCGAACCATTGAGAACTTGGTGCGGAGAGGGAAGTCAGCTCATGTATGCAGCATGGCACATACATGCGTACGTGTTGTTCCACTACATATGCAATCAGATGCTGAAATGTCTATGAGACATCTTTCTCGTATGCCGCTCATGAACGGTTGGAAATGCTAGTCAAGATGTTCAGATCTCCTGGCAAGCTCAGTAGTCTTGATGATCCCATGCAAGTTGCTCGACTGGACTCGTATCGCAGTTTCTTCTTCTATGCGCAAGGCCTTACTTCGATCATACTCGCTGAGCATTATGCCTGCTGGAGGTTGCATGGTCTGCAGTCTGATTTCACCCGTTTGTTTGCCATATCGTGTATCCAAGGCCCATTCATCGAGTTCGTACTGATCGCTTCTGGTTGTCCCGTCAGTACGGCTGCGGAAGGTGTCGTACTCGAGCGTCCTCGGTCCAGTGCCTGTCTGTTGCGACCGCTTGCCACATGCGTCTGGATTATGCTGATTATATGCTGATAGGTTGAGTAACTTGTTGACAAGAGGTTTCAAAGCCGGTGCGCATGCCGCGATGATACCGACCTGCAACTGTAGGCTAGGTGCGAAAGAATTATTAGTTTCAAGCCACCGAGCTTTCTGTAATCGAACCTACAAGCCCCAGAATTGGATACTTCTGTTGAAAGTTCTATCAGGGTCGCTGTCGTTGTTGAGCTGGTATACTGCTTTGACTATGCCCATCGCGACAGCACTTGGGATTTCATTAGTCACGGGAGTCGAGCAATCATGACTTTGAATCATTCGATACTCACAAGTACCCTAAGCTCAAGATTCCAATTGCGTAAAGACGAAGTCTGCGCTTCATCTGCAAATTCCATATGACTGGCACAGGTAGGGTGGCTAGAATTACGTCGGTGAAGATGTTGAATCCTGAAAGTGCGTGAGCGATATCACCATGGCGTCGCGGCCATGAGACACAGGAACCCGACTTACCTGTGTTTATTATACCAAACAGATTAATGTTATTGCCATCTTTACACTTTGGAGGTGGTGTCGTGTTCCTGTCCCAAAATCCTGACATGGGTTTGCAGTGAAGGAAGAACGGAAACATGCCGCCAATCGAGTAGAACAAGACAAGAGCTCATTCGGACCGTCAATACTTGTCGGAAGAGGCCGACGAGTGTGATTTACCTACCAATAGTTGACCACAACGCCCACTTGTACCATCCAGTCTTGCTCAGACGCAAGAGACTAAGGGCGATAGAGACCTTAAGAAACATGAGAGCGCCGGCGGCGGAGATGATCGCTTGCCAAAAGGCGACGTGGTTGAACACGATGTAGTCATACTTCTTGTCGATGGTCGAGATGTGTTTGCCAAGACCGTATTGCGCCTGAATCACGAATGAGATCCATCCTCCCCAGGCGCAGATCTACACACTCGACCAAGTCAGTCTGAGGGCAGCAGGATTGGAGCTCGATGCGGTGTACTTACCGCCGATAAGACCATGACCGTATCGTCCCACCCCGGCGCCTTGATGACCCATATTCTGGCGTATATCCGCAGCGTAACGCTCAACTGCGCCAGGAGATGAAAAACAGTTACGACAGCGATGATGCGCGCGGTGTTACTCTCAGCTGCCCATGTTGGGTTAAAAGGCGCGGGAGCCGTTCCGTTCGTGTTGTTCATGTCTGCCCATCATAGATCGTCACGAGTAGTGTCCTTTTCAGATCGCCAAGTTGGAAGCGACCAGTAGAAAAGGTCTGGTGAGAAGCAGAATGGTCTGTGTGTGCTGAAGTGACGGGAACTCTCGTAGTTGTTCAATTAGTGAAGCGAACGCGAGTTGAGAGAAAGAAACTTTGAAGGTGAGGGAACTTTGAACTATATGCGGCAATGCACAACAAGCGGCGGTAGTTAAAACTTGCTGAGAACTGTTTAGAGTTGGCTATAATAGCCTATTCAAACTTCAGGCCAGAGCATTTTCCGATTCATGGATCAGACTACGTAGCGAGGGTTAGAGATGCAAGTTGAGTCAGACATGTCATATAAACGTTGTCTCCCTCGGTTTCAATGGTTTCGGTTAATATGTGCATGTTTTCAATGTTGCATAACGAATTTGGACTCTTTCAACAAGAAATCCGTAATATTTGTAATATTTTCGTCAGGTCTAACTATATAGCAGGCTGCACGTTGGTTGTTGTGGATAACTCGAGCGGGTAATCGAACTGGGTTGCCTTAATGTGGAGGGGGGGTTGGACGTGATACCCTCTTAGAGCCAGAAGCGCGACCATTTTTTCCAAGAAGCACCGTCCGTTGTAGTGGATGGCCGAGCGGTATGATTCCCGCCCTGTGTGGTGAGAACATAGTTGGCTCATGGCCCTGCATAGTGCCATGGATAGCTTCTTTTTCAAACATTCTTCATCATAGTAATTTTGGTGCAGAGCAATGTTACCACGTGTTACCTGCGTATTCATATATATAACCTTTGTGATGGAATACGAGTACACTTCCAGATGGTAGCGAGCTCGAGTCGAGATTTCCTTTCCTTTTTTGCCCTCTCCCTCTACGGGAAGAGAAACAGTGGGAATACCAAGTGATCCGGGCTTTCAGCATGAACAGCGTCAATTGCACGCTGAGGCAGTCATGAGGCAATTACGAGACGAGCTCCCTAGACTAATTTTCACTGCTGTCATTCATTCAATTGAATTATAGTACACGTGATCTTGTCATTCATATTATGGTAATGTGCAGTAAGCAATATGTACATCAGAAGCAGACGAAACACAAGCAAGGGACATTATACACACGTCCAGCTATCAGGAGAGTTGGGGTCTCCGGACTTGTACACGTTGCGCGTGGGGTATTTGCAGTGCTTCCTCGTGAAAGCAACCTGGCCGCCCTGCGTACCATTGACAAAAGCAGTGCCGAGGATCGAATCTGGCGCGACGCCCTCCTCAACCCACCGGACAATGGCTGAGAGAACATTGCGTTCGGGCTCGAACCCGGCAACAGCAGAGTCCTTGTTGCCAATGAAGCTGGCGCCGGGACCGCCGCTGCAGTGGTTCATGCCTGAGATGCGGAAGTACCGGTAGAACTCGTCGAGCTGCGCGGACGTGAGGCCCATGGTGCGCGAGACGTGGTTGTAGTAGCGCGCGCTGTTGTCGCTGCTGATGATGGGGTCCTGGAGGCCATGGTAGTGCAGCACCTTGGTGCCGCGGTCCTTGACGCCGGAGAGGTCGCCCTTCCAGGTCTCGATACCGCCGGGGTTCTGAGCGGCGGCGGCGGCGAAGTCCTTGGGGCCGATGGTGGCCGGGTCCCAGGTCGTGTCGTTGTAGATGACGTTTTGGAACCAGTCCGTGGTGTAGGGGAACGCGCGGCCGGCGAGCAGAATCTGGGTGGGCTGGGCACCGGGTTGGAGGCGGGGGTAGACGAGACTTCCGTCCTGGCCGTACAGGTCGGAGAAGACGGTGCGGACCGTCTGGGCCTGGACGCCGGTCAAGCAGTTTGCCGTCTGGTTGGCACCGCAGATGAGAGACTCGGGGCGGTACTGGCACAGATCAGGGTCCTCGATGATGCCGTCGACGTGGCCGTCGAGACCGTCGCACTGGTTAAGCAGGTCCTTATAGACGAGAGTCCAGAGATCCGCCGACAGGAAAGTCGGCTTGTCGGAGGTGCCGGTGGCGGTGAAGAAGTGACCGCTCCAGGATGTCAAGTTGTTGAAGGCGAAGGCGGGCGCACCAGCCACGATACCGTCAAAGTCGTCGGGGAAGTCTTGGGCTTCCTTGAAGCCCTGCCTTCCACCAGTTGAGCATCCAAGGTAGTATGACTTGGTGTGCTCCTTGCCGTAGAGGGCTTTGGTCGTCTCCTTGCCAATGACGACGCCGGTGTGGAGGGATCGGTAGGCAAAGTCCTCAATGGTGCCGGGGTTGTTGAGGAAGGGCGAGCCAATGGTGCCGTTGTGTCCATTGTTGGCGCCGACTGCAGCGAAGCCTCGTGAGACGGCGTAGGCAATGTCCTCGTATTGAATACATCCGCCAGTGCCTCCATTGCCGGTGCTTAAGAAACGGCCGGTCCAGTTGGACGGGAGCCAGGCCTCAATACTAACGTTGCTGATGGGTCCGGTAGTGGTCAACATGGACACACGGCAAATGTCGACTCCGACGACCTGACCAGGGCGGGTACATGTCGGGTGGTTCTCTGGGAAGGTAATATTGGTTCCGGCAGAGACGGGAGTGGAAAACCAGACGGTGGTGTTTGGGAGCTTCAAGTTGTTGACGAGGGCGCTGCAGTCGTCGGCGAAAGCGCTCATGACGTACTGAGCCGCTGGCACCAGCAGCATCGCAGAAAGGTTGACGGACTTCATGTCGGCGAATGGGCGTTGAATAGGACAGATTCCAAGGTCCATTCGAGACTGGCGGTCCTCTATGTCGAGGTGTTGGGGCTCAATGGCTTCTTTTATAATGGCAATGGAGTATGTACTGTGGTCGAACTGGTATCCAGAAGTAAGGTAGTCCCCAATGTGACGATGCCAGGCCGTTCATCTCAACACAACCCTGGCAAGAAGACTAGTAGCAAATCGATGCCCACCCTCGGCGATCCCTTCGGGTGGCGTGCCGGTCGGCGTGGAGTGACGGCAGTTAGCCACGGCATGACTGGACAAGGCGACCTTCCAGACAAAAGCAAACACTGGGCGGTCTATGCCTGATTCAAGGCGAGCATCTGGGAGAGCTCTGACAGCAGTAGAATGAGGCATAGCGACCTGCCTTTTTCTCCCCACACTGGTAGACTACACGTGTTAGCTTGAGGGGATAACCATGCATCGGCAATGGCGAGTGCGGAGAAGGCGACCAGGTTGGGGTATGCTCTCCGGGGGTTGATCACGGCGGAAGAGTCTTCTACCGGGCGGAAGACAGGACTCGTCATGTTCACTTTGTGGCTTTTGCTCATGTGAGCAAGAGTCGTGTCAACTCACTTTGCTCTAAAGCGGAAGTTGGGCCGCGCGCGGCAGGCAAGGAAGAGACGACGAATCTAGAGCCAGTTCAACTCTAAAACTGTGATGAAGCTTGTTTGGATGGTGGAGGCGTTTGCTGACGAGAAGAGCGGAGAGTGGAATTAGCGTAGCCTGTGCGATGGGGAAGAACTGGAGAAGCGCATTTCCCCAGTGTCACTAGATGCAAGGAGACGCTTCTCCACGTGCGGGGAGACGCCGGTTTACCCGGGGGCTGGGTAGTCTGGGCCTTGGAAACCCAACATTGGTAGCGTTTGTGACGGAGGAGCTGGAAATCGATCTCCCAAGAGAATGGAAGGTCGTTATTGAGCACCGGGTTGTTGAGTAATCGTATCCCTACGGATATCTACACAACTCGAGAGAAGTGTGATATGCGTGTTTCGAGAGCTTCAGAGATCACTGTACGGGTGTTCCCTCGTTGTTTCTCTTGCGGATCCATTCAAATTGCCTCTGTGAAAAAGTTTGATGTTTCAAGAGTCAGGACTCTGAACAAAACACGCAAGAATCCGCTGACAGAGGCCCTCAGATCGTTCGAGTCGCGCGGCGGCCCGACAAGCAACACCCATGTATCCGACGTTGCCTCTTTCGTTGCAACCATTTGCGGGAGTCCCTGTAGATCTGACCCTCTCGAACTCCTCGACACTGACAGTTCTCTACTACGGAATCAATTTGTTTCCTTTTGCTGATTTCTTGCTTATGGATCCTACCTGCATACGCGTCCAGATGGCCTTTACTCCCCTTAATATCGGAAAACGAATGACGTTCAGAGCGGCCTGCCAAAACGAGACGTGTGAGAGGGTTATACCTGCGGCATTATCCTCGGCGTCATCTAATCTTTTTTTCCATCTACGACGTTGCACACATGACACCTTGGCATTCCCCAAATGGACACTTTTGGATTTCTTTCAACCACGGATCATGAGGTTTTAGACATAACCCGTGCTGGCTTCCCGAAGATTTAGTGCAGAGGGGTATTTGGGGTTTCGGCACGCTGCGTGACTTAGCTGCATGATGTTTTGCGCCCCCAAGAGGGGGGAGTTGAGCTGTGAGGAACGCAAAGTCCGACTGACTCGGAAAACCCGGCCTCCATGCCATGTCCCTTCAACAGTCTCTTCCATCTGGGGACCCGCCGACCGAAGCCAAGTCGGCGCAGCCGTCGATCATCACTTCCAAGCCGTAGCGATAGAGTACTGAGTGAGGCACTTTGTCTCTTTCGGTCCGTTGATACAAGGGCTATCGCAGACTTTACACCGCGGAAGATTCCGCCTGCTTGTCAGTCATCCGATCGAGAGAAGAATTTGACGCTTTGATCACCGCTCCGGGCACCACTGTAACGCTCCGTATGGAGACGCGACTGGAGCAGAGTAGTCGTTGATATCCAGTGCAGTACAACAGTAGTCAAGAGATAATCCGTAATAATGCCGCCTACAAATCCGCTGTGTTATGTCCGTAGGGATGACCTCCGACTAGATCTCGGACCCGACGACGCGGAGCTAAAGGATGTGTTAGTACTAATCATAGGGCCGGCCGGCAACCATGATGCCGGGTTTCCGCCTTCTATTAGCGCACCCACACAAGCAGGTGGATTAATCGAGCGCTGCGGTCGTAGTCGCTGTCTCTCCCTTCAACCTGACGTCTTGCAGCACCCTTCATCGACCAGCAAAAACACTAATTAACACACGTTAAAAAGAGTACAAAATGTGTCATTTGAATGATGCTCTCAGCAGCCAATGTAGCGGTCCGAAAGACAATCCGTGCGAAGGTTTCGGACCGAGCCCCAGCTCCGTAGTAGCTTTCTTCATCGACTCATTCGCTTCCATGCCAGAGAGAAGTCTATGTACTCCCTAGCACCTCGTGCTCTTCACAATGAGAATCGCGGCGAAAATGTTGGGCGCCAGGTTAAGTAGGTACTTCGAGCCAGCTCATCTTTGGAGTCAGAGTAGCAGTCGGATTGAACGAGAAGCTTTATTCAAACTCATAGTGAATAGGTCAAATGTAAAGAATTTTTGAATCTCGGCTCTAAAGACTGAGCCTTAGTTTGTGAACCCTCACCTGTACTGGGGATAGTTTTCCGCAAGCCACTTCTGAGATAGTGTCAAGCCCAGTTCCGATCATCACACCATGGATACGAACGTATCGACTACATCAGCCAGCTGGGCAGAGTTTGCAAGCCAAAAGCTATCCTCATCGCTTCCTGCGTCCAACTCCAGCTTCTATTGGTCAGCCTTACTCGTACTAGCATCAGTCATCGCAGCACCTCTTCGACACAAGTTCCAAGATGTCGAGATCTACCCAGTCATCAACAAGACTAAGGAGGAATACCTGACAGGCGGGAGAGCCCTCCTTGCCAAGGGAGCCAAGAAATACGGCGGCAAGCCATTCAGAGTCTTCACCGGCCAGGGCAGCACCCTCACGGTTCTGGCGCCTGAGTTCTGCCACGATGTGAAGAATGATAACCGCTTGAGCTCGACAGAGTTCCTCCTGGCCTACTGGCAGGCCGGGACACCGGGGTTCGAGCCGTACTTTAGCTCGGGAAGCGAGCTCATCCGTGAGATGATCCGAACTCATCTCACTCAGAGTGATGTTGGTGAGTCTTTGGAACCCGGCCGGTCTCACAACTTGCTCATCTAGGCCGCGCAGCCAAATTATCACAACCGCTCGCAGACGAGGCAGCCAACGCTCTGAAAGACGTCTTTACGGATAACGAAGGTACATCTAACCAATCATCTCATACCCTTACTTGAGATACTCATGTCCTCTCTGACACCATCTCAGAATGGCACGAAATCATTCTCGCCCCGACAATCGCCCAAATCGTCGCCCGCGTCTCTGCCCTGGTCTTCCTCGGCCCCGAACTCTGCCGGGACCCAACCTGGCTCACCATCACCATAAACTACCCCCAAAAAGCCATGGCCGCCGCCAAAGTCCTCCGCTCCTACCCGGCCCCCGTCCGCCGCTTCGTCCACTGGTTCCTCCCCTGCTGCCGCGAGCTGCGCCAGATGCTCCGCACCGCGCGGCAGGCTATCGAGCCAATCCTGCAGAAGCGGCGCGAGCAGGAGGCCGAGAAGGGTGGGGTCGTGTTTGATAACGCGTTGGCGTGGATCGAGAAGCTGGCGAAGAAGCAGCAAGATCGGACGGCGCAGAATGCGGCGTTTCAGCAGCTTGGTTTGTCGATTCTTGCGAATGCTTCGAGTACAGATATGGTGTCGCAGAATTTGCTGGATTTGTGTGTGAATCCGGAGGTGACGGAGGCGTTGAGGGGGGAGATTGTGAGGGAGACGAGGGGTGGGTGGAAGAGCTCGACGTTGTATAATCTGAGGCTTTTGGACAGTGTGCTGAAGGAGACGTTGCGTCTCAAGCCCATTGCGTCGGGTCAGCTACTTTCATCGACTACGCATTGTGCCATTGCTAACTTGCAAATAGTGGCTCTTGGGAGGCGCGTGATGGAAGATGGCGTGAAACTGAGTGACGGCACCGTGCTGCCCAAGACGACCGGCGTTGCCGTATCATCCGCGAACATGTGGGATCCGGTAAGACATTCCATCTCTTGTCGGCGGTCTATGCCGACCAGATCGCTAACTTTCCCTGACATAGGAGATCTATCCAAGCCCAGAAACCTTTGACGGCCGACGCTTCCTCCGGATGCGCGAGGGCGGCAACAACGAGCACAACGCGCAGCTCGCGAGCGTGTCGCCGGAGCACATGGGCTTCGGGCTCGGCTCGCACGCGTGCCCAGGTCGGTTCTTTGGCGCGAGCTCTGCGAAGCTGATCATGTCGCACATCTTGCTCGGGTACGAGTTCAAGCTGGCTGATGATGTGGACAAGAGTAGTGTTGAGCCTATGCGTTTTGGGTTCTCTACTCTGGCGAATCCTAGGGCCAAGGTCCTGATCAGGCGTCGCAAGGATGCTGTCTGAGGCACGAAGGGAGACTTTATTGAGGCTTTCGTGCTGCGGATATCTGGTGTAAAAGGAAAGACAATACGGCCAGGCGACAAGGCTGTTGGAGCTACCGCCTTGTTGAGGTGACCCGGTCAAAAGCCTCGCCCTAAAGCAATCATGTCATGAAACTAGTGGAGACAATTAATCGCCTAGGAATCAGGAATAGCCCAGAATGATCTCAGGAGCTACTTCGAACGAAAAGCGTGTGCGATATCAAGAAATTCGGGACATCGGCTCGACGGGCAGCAATGCGAAACAGAGAAATTTGTTGTCAATAAGCTTCGCTTTTGGGTAGCACTAATACCACGTAGCCAAGCAAGATATATTGTTTCCCGAATTGATCGCGGAGCCTCTGAGCAGTCGAACTCCCAAGAACGGGAATCTCCGTCCAAGCGATTGGCGGAAGAAGTTTCCGCGCTGAGGACTGCATGGCGGGGTTGGCTCGAGAAGCTCAACCA